TATTCTTGTGGTATAAACTCTTATCTACCCAATTCTGTTACAAAGTTACTGTAAAAATAAGCTACATAAAATTTTATCTACACATATACTGGTCATCGAAATAAAAGGATAATGACAGAAATAAAACATAACTGATACTTCAAGAAAAATTAATGCAAATTAGTATAAAAGCATTAGTTAACATAAATTATAATGTTTGGTAGTTGATTATTCACAAATTATTAAAATTAAAACCAAATTTATGGAAATTGGAAAATGATGGAAAAATAAAGTTACCTGTAGCAGGAAAGATTTTTTTAATTTATTTTATTTTAAATATGGTATTTGGTCACCTAGAACAGATATACATACATACCCCACATCTTGATTTCATAGATTTTACCAAAGTGTTGATCAAGTCTTGTGGAATGCATACCACTCTTTTAAAAGTTCACTTTTCAGCTCCTGGAGGGTCAGGTGAAGAATTTCCGCACACTGAAATTCAGTGCAATTCACATATGCTGGATGAGGATGCGTTCTGTCTGTCACCTATTAGCAGAAACTCTGGGCTAATAGCACCCTTAAACAGTGTAACCTTGGGGTTCCAATACCTCAGAGCGGTTACAGAACCTCCTTGATATGCAGCTTGAGGCGGCCATTTGTCATAATTCTCCCCCACACCATTAAACCACAACTGCAGAAACAAGATATTTCATGGACAAGGGAACGGAAGTTGCATGCTACTTCCTCTCTCCAGATTAAAAAACAAGTCTAGAATCACCATTCAGACTATATCTGAACTCGTCAGTAAAGAATATTGAGGCCCAGTTGTATTGGCTCCACTGAACATGACAATGTCACCAGTTTAAACAGGCCTTTCTAGAAGCTGGAGAGAGTGGGACACAAACCATTAGTTTTCTTGCATGCAGTCCAATATAAGCCTTCATGAAGCAGTAGAATGGCTAATTCGAGTTTCTGTAGCAGCCTGGAGGTCTAAACCCAAATTTCTTGTAGTCGCTTCACAGTGTCTTCAAATGCAGTTGTTGCTCTTGGTCACCCTTGACAGGCTGTCTGTTAACTAATCCAGATCTTAAAAAGCAGCTCAAACTCCTGATATGACAGTTTGAGGAATATTCAAATCTTAGGCAACCTGCAGTTGTTGCTCTTCGTTGCCCTTGACCAGGCTGTCTGTCAAACGTTCCACAGCTTAAAAAGCAGCTACAAACTCTAAATATAACAGTTTGAGAGATATTCAAATCTTGGGCAAACTCAATTTAAGTTTGACCTTCCTCAATTCTATCAGTTACACTGCTGGCCACCAAAACTGCAACATCATGAAGGAAAGCAAATACAAAAAAAGATATTTGTTGCACATAAACAGTACGGCATGAAAACAAAATGATTAAATTTATAATCACTTCGGAGGTTCACAGGGGTGTGAAATTAGTACACACTGCTGCCACCCCTGGCAGCTAAAACGGCTCTTACCCTGTTAGGCATGGAGTCAAACTGGCCTTGGATGACAGAAATGATCATCTCATTCCATTTTGCTTCAAGTCTATGTCACGCTTCATCAACCGTATTAGCTGGAGTGGGGTGGCAGAAAAGTCTTTCAGCAACATATGACCAGATGCTTTCAATGGGTGACAGATCTAGAGACCATGAAGGCCAGGGCAGCAATCGAATACCCTGTGTATCGAGGAAGGTCAGAACATGATGAACAACATGTGTCTTGCACTATCTTGTAAGAACATGTCGTTTGGGAGCCTCAAAGACAAGGCACAGTGACTGGGCATAAGATGTCCGAAATCTACCCATCTGCATTCAAATTACCATCGATCCGAACTAGAGACAGGCTGCCTAAACCATCACACTAGGTTTAGAACGCATATGGCGATATCAAATGCAAGCAGGAAATGTGCGGTCCCCTCTGACACTCCAGACATGTATACGGCCATCAGAATACTTCACATAAAACCCAGACTCGTTTGACTGTGCCCAGCTTTGTCGTTTGGCGCAGCACAGTCGCTGTCTGTCTCTCTATGCTACACTGTCAAGAGACACTGAAGTAATGGTCACTCTACCGATATGGTATTGTAGCTGACTGCTACAACCATCGACACACCTTACAAAGCAATACTGGGCATTCTGCAAACATGGTGTTGATTATTGGTCCGTGATGTGGTTATACGGTTTTGCAGGACTGACCTCACAATATGTCTGTCCTCTCTGGCATTAGTCGTGGGAGAGCACTGAGATCCTGCATGCCGTTCATTATGATCTTCAGCAATCCATTGATTCCATATTCGCATGACAGTGTTTGGTTATCGGCCAGTGCGAACAGCAATATCGTGGAACAATAATCTACACTTTCGAAAGGCAATGAGCCTGCCTGTATCAAATTTTGAAACATGCTGGTACGCATTTTGTCTTCTTTTTCAAGGCATAACACGGTATTTTGAGCAAATTCCAACCTTACAAAGCACTTTCCGAATGAGAAATCCACTACACAACTTTTCTTTTATGCAGTGTTTCAGATGTCATTTCTCCCGCCCTGTGCTGAAATACTAATTATTTGCTAACTACTGAATACTGATTACTCTTAGAAACCACATTCACTTTAATTAAAACTATAGATTGGAATTCCAGCATGTGTCCACATTGCCAACCACCGAATTTCCATATTTTTAGCACAAACGTATGCACGTAAGTGCAATTTGAGTTGTATTTAATTAACATAAATAATTATAGCATTGGATATTGGTTACAACCTCATTATCTCTTAATTTTGATTATCAATGTATATAAATATTTTAATATATTTGTCAATCAATCAAAGATCTTAATTCAGATTTATGATAGGTATGGAAACTTAATATTTAATAATAAAATTCAATGTTTTTATTATTATTACTGTTTAAAAGCAAAAACCATATATGATGATTCCAGAATTGCCGTCCTTTTCACAAAGACTTGCATTTGCTATTAACTGAGTTGGATTACTAAATCATGGCAAAGCACATTAACGTGATCTATGGGCAGAAATGCCTGCATGGATAATTTTCTAAGAGAAACCAGCTCTGCCTACATTACATGTGGAAAAACAAAGCAATATTTATGCAGTTACACTTTCTGTTAAGAAACACCATGTACCCATTTCATTTAGATCCTATGAAATTTGGGTACTTTTCCGTTTGGCCGGTGCAAATCTCGCCAAGTACACTTTATTGGAGACAACACACAGTATACACATAAATAAAAAATGTTAGTTCTAAGAACTTTTTATTTTGAAAGCATAAACATTTTAATCATTTAAAATTTTTTAAAAAGACAGTAAATAAAGGAAATAAATGTGTAAAAAGACATTAATTTAAGAATTTACTATTATCTCATGGTCCAACATCCTGATTTACCAGTTCATATCACATGACCCCAAGTGATCTCATCTCACGTAAACTACGCTACAAAAATCTAATTCTGCCAGTAATTATCTACATTAGTTTGAAGTTAAATCTTATGAAATACAAATTTAAATGCAAGAATTATTTCAATTCGTACGAATAGCTTACTTAGAAATTATGTAAAACCGCAGCGCTTTACTTCGCTAGAGCATTCTCATTAGAATTGATGAATTTAACCCTTGACTTCGCCTTTTCTATATTTTTGCCTTCGGGTGAGCGGTGTGAATGCATCCTAATTGACTTAATTACCATGAAAGTCCTTAGTGATAGAAATTACTTAAATGGCAGATGATATATTTTGAAAATATAGTAGAAATATTTACTTGGCTAACTAAACCTGTAATGTGCATTTGTGGTTTGCTTATTTTTTTCTACTATATTTTCAAAATATATCTGTCATTTAAGTAATTTCTATCACATTATCAGCACGATATGCTCTAAAGAAGTTTATTTAGCAGAAACAAAGAAGAAATTTTGATTCTTTCCGAAAGAAAAAGAAGCAACATCCACAGCGCTGGTGACGCTAAGGCTAACATATTGAAAATAATTTCTATCACTTAGGGCATAAAATTGAACTATCTGGTAAATCTGGTTTAAAAATTATATATAATTTTATGCCAGTTTTGAAAGAAACAATCAATCCCATAAGAAATTGCAGCTACTTCTTTTGAAAATCATGTGTAAAAGTTTACCAATGAGGATATTCCGTTTGGCATCGGTTGTACTGTTTTTATCAACTTTATCACCTGCGCCGGCAAAATGGAAAATATCGAAATTTGAATTCTGCAATTCATTAAAACTGTTTAATGGAGGACTACTAACAGACTATGAAAACACTAGTAGTTCTCCGATAGCAGCCCTTAGCAACTGAAAAGACTGGCTGTGTAAGAATTTTATGTTTTTTCCCAAGATAATGTCCTTCTTTCTTTAGAAAATCTGCCACAAAAGAATCTCTTCAAAAGCAGACAACCTTCAAGTACTCTGCTGCAATAATTTCATCTACTCATCAGAACAGAAATAAAATTTATATGAGATATGCAGCATGCAGTATAATTCTTATGTTCTTGTTCATGACGCTTCATTAATTTTTAACACCACTAAAACTCATTTTCTTTTCTTCCTGATTGAAATACACTAATGCAAATTTATAATAACTTAAACAATATGTAATGTAATAATGTAAATATCATCCTAATGAATGCAAGTTTATGAAAATAAAGACTAAAATAAATCATTATACAAATTTAGTTAATAAATGCTGTTTAAATACAGGTTTTCATGACAGATCTAAAATCCTGTGTCGCTCAGAAAATTTCAGTCCTTAATGAATCTAATAATTATACAATATTGCTTAAACAATGTTTAGAATTGAAAAAGGATTATTTAATAGAAAATTTTATCCTAGATAGATAGATAGAAAACCCTGCATACAGAAATTGCCATTATATGAAGAGATACAATATATTTACAAATGTGCTTGAAATAATTATAAATGAAAGTATATTTCTACCAGTTATTTTATAAATTTCAGTGTTACATTTGCAGTAAAACAGAACCTTGCATTTTTTAAATTTTTTAGTCTTTAATGAAATAGAAAATACAATGAGAACTATATACAAACAGCACGAAGTGAAACTAATGTACATGAAAAAAATTACATGCATCTCTACAGCACAAAAAGTAGATGAAAAATTAAACATTTATAGAGTTAAAAATTACATTCCCAGTAAAATTCCATCCACAACAATAATGTAATGTGTTTACTTGCATAGCACATTTAAAGACACTAAATTTTATGATATCATTGCTGAGGAGATCGAACTATTTTGGCATAGGTCATTCCTTCTGAAGACAACTGAGGATATTGCAAAGATGAATCATTATTCAACTGTAAGGGCAAATCAAATTTAAACGGTGAATTGTTTACGGCAGAACTCTCAGATCTAGCAGTTGGCTTTCGAATAACTTTGGATGAATTCTCTTTGCCATTTGGTAAGATATGAGATGATAAAATATCCGGAATATCTGGATATGACATGGACAAAGGACCAGCTGTCATTTGTTTAGCTGAATCTATGTTCTTAGACAATGACTGATCATTTGCTCTTGAAAATTCAAATGGAAAAGCATAACCATTTTCCCGTTCATCAACAGAACTCGAAATACTTCTCAAACGGCTTAAATAAGAGCCTTGTGAATTAATAGGTTCTGCAAACTGGAATGGTGAACCTGTTTGCTCAATATTTTGGGATAATTTGTATTCAGGTGAGATCCACATATGTTTTTCGTCCATTCTATCTACTTCAATATGATGGCGATTACCAAAAGATTCATGAGGGAAAATATCATCTCTTGCCAAATGATCTCGCCTGTTTTCAAGCTGGTTAGAAATGAATAATTTAGACATTTCTAAAACAGGTGGTTCTTGACTAGCCCTATTCAAAATTACCCTATCATATATTCCCATATTATCTTGAGAGCTATTCATCCAATTAGTCTGAAGATTATTCATTTGTGGCCTTTGTAAATCTTGATCATGTTCATTATTAAAAAATCTAGGCTCAATTTTATCCGAATTAATGATGCAAGGCAATGGAAAAGGAGATGCTGATGAATCATTTGCGAATGATTCTGAATTATTAAACACTTCTTGATGGTGAGCATTAATTGGTCTGGAGAAAGATGAAGGGAGATTCCTTATTACTGAAGTAGATACATGTGGAACTTGTGAAGCATTAAATCTTTGACTTACATGTCTTTTCTGAGAAAAATCCAATTCCTGAATAATTTCTTGATCTCTTTTTATAGCTTTTATAAGAAGCGAGAGTGTTCTTGCAGCATTTCGGCCTACAGACTGAATCAAATGTTGCAGAAACGCTATCGTTTGTTCTTCATTCTCAACAAAAGAGAGGACATCAACTCCTGCAGGTAACACTTTTTCTAAAAGATTTAATTTTTCTTGCAACTGTTGGAAAATAGGAGAGCGACTCAATTCAACAACTTCAATATTATTTGCATTCGTCATCGATTCGGACAAATCGGACCATTTTTCAAAAGCACCAGGTGCATTATTAGATGACATCAAAGGATGTACAGTTGGGACACTAGTAATTGCATTACGAGCTCTTTCCCGTTCATTGGAAAACCCATGTCTAAAACAACATTTCATAGATTCTTCACTACGATTATGTGGAGCACTGTGGCTCTCAGAATCAACAGACTTTGAGGGGAAAGGACACCATACACCATTTACTGGAGGAATTTTATTTCGCAAGGACATGTGATCAGAAAACAAAGGTACACTATTTAACTGATTACCAGGCAAACCATTCTTTGTAAATGCATTTATGTGATTTATTTGATTTCCGGGTAAACTGTTTTTCATAAAAATATTTACCATTTCTTCTGCCTTCAGCATATTAAGAGGCTTATTTGCTTTTTCCTCAAAATTATACAAACTTTGGTTATTTTGAAAATGCACATTACTATCAACTTCATTAGAAATATTAAAATTATTAAATGGTTCTACACGATTAGGAACAGCACATTTTACATCATCTATTTCATTCTGAGAATGTTCATCAAAGGGCCTATAAGATGGTTGTTTATTAACTACATATGGGACATGGACTTCATTTCGCTTTGTCTGCCTTCCTATACCAAGTTCAAACTCCTTTACCTGACCATTATGATCTAAATGCACAGAATTTCCTCGATTATTAGAAACTTTTCGATTAAGAATTGCAGGGGTCATACGATTTGGAATATTTGTTGAATGCTGTTGTTGCTGTAGAGGTGGGGGTGGGGGTGGAGGAAGAAGAGGTGGGGTGTTAAATGTGTGATTCTGAAATGGATTGGGCTGAGTAGGAGGCATTATTGAGGGGCAAATACAACTGACAACATTGTAAGGATTAGGTGCAGACATCATGTGAGCAATAGCAGGTTGTATTAAAGGAGAACCTTGAAATGGACTTCCGAATGGCAGAAAATAAAATGGAAATTGCATTGGGGTATCAGTGCATACGGTATCAGTAGAAGCTGGAGCATCTGGTGCATGATACATTCGTCCTGGAACAAATTCAGGAGCGAGAGGATTAAGAATGAAATTCTTTTTTAATTCCATACTATCCAGTTCTGACCTCAGTGAATCCCATGTAATTCCAAACAGACTTTTTTCTTTATTACAAGTAAGGATATATTTTTCCCAGAGTTTCCTGAAATAAATGGGAGGGGAAAAAAAAGTAATTACAATATGAAAACACTTATCACTAAAACTTAAACAGTAAAGTTATAAAGATAAAGCTTGACTATTTTTATACTTTAGACCAGGGGTTCTCAACCGGCAGTACGCAAGAGAAAAATAGGTGGTACGCAAGGAAGCAAAGTATTTTTAACTTTTAAATTCAAAAATTAAAACCCCAACATCCCGACTGAGCTTTTTCTCTAACACTCATAAATTTATGCGATCTGAGCTTTGTTCAAGAGCGGTGGTAATAGTATTTTCTAGTGGTGATCCTAAAGGTTTTCAATTTTTGTTTAGATGGTATGCGTTAGTCAAAAGGTTGAGAACTGCTACTTATACAATAGAAACTGGCAATGAGTCAAAATTATATGTCAACTAAAATTAGACACTAATACTTCCTTAGTTACACACATATTTAATATTATTAAAAAGCATGAACTCAGTTTTATGATGTATAGACCTAAACACAATTATACTATTATGCACTTAAAAATAATTTTTAACTGCATAATACTAGTTTTATTTTTTTAATAATTCATAAAATTTTGAAATAAGTTATAAACAGAACAGTTACATATTATGTACTAGGCTGAAATTCTAAATTTAAGTAGTAGTACTAGTTATTTAACGTGTTTTATGAATTGATACACAAAAATTACCTTTAGTTTAAATAATACCCATAATTTTATTGTAGTTTTTCATAATTACATACTACATATTCAGATAAAAAAAGGAACATAGGTAATAATGTATAAAAAAATCATTCAAATGAAAGATAAAGCAAGAGGCTTAAAAAGTCATTAAACTGACTGAAAGATCTCTAATTATAGTTTTCAACTGATACTTTGCTCCTGCATTCACATTCTACAATACCGCAAGTAAAATCAAAATTCAGAGTACATTAATGGCACCAATATAGTCTAAGAATTCACAAAACTATGAACTGAAATCTGAATTATATTAACTGCTAAAAATTTTTAAATTACTAAAGTTAATTAAATCGTTTTTCAATTAGAGTTTATATAGGCACTCCACTATACATATATCAAGTTGTAATGAAAGTTTCCCGCCACCACGGATATCGTCTGCGTAAACAGTTTGCATTGCCATGTTTAAACATATTTTGTCAAACAATTTTTGGCATTTGAAAGAAAGAAACTTGCTTTAAAACAATCTGTTGTGAAATTTGTAAAAAGATATCGTTATCATTAAGAACAAGGTGTCTGAAATGGAACTATCATCCATATTAGAACTACCATTTACCTCCAGTTCTGTTACAAAAAGTCAGCTACAGAATGTCGCCAAACATATGTATAGCTTTAGGTAATAATGTTGTATCATATGACACTGTGAAGGTTTGGTACCCAAGATTTCAAAAACACGGACTATGACATTCAAGCAGTAGAGTGCTCTGGCCGGCCTATTGATGTTGATGGGGACCACCTATGAGAATTTTTGGAAGAAGATTAATATGCAACCACTCAAAAGATAGCTAAGGAATTAAGACGTTACTGCTATCTCCATTAGTTGTGCTATACATCACATAAACTTGACATACAAGTTCAATCGCTGGGTGCCGCAACAGCTGACTCAAACAGATAAGGACAAATGTGTTCAAGCCTGCACTAATCTGTACCAGATTGTCATTTGTGATGAAAAGTGGATTTACTTCAACAACACAAGCCAAAAAGAGGATTGGTCTGTGCCAAATGAGCCTATCGGATGCATCACAAAGTGCAGTTTGACTAACAAGAAGATCATGCTTTATATCTGGTGGGATTGCCATGGTATTACCCAAAAAAAGAGTAGAAAATCATAGATTTAGATGAATTAAAGGCACTGTTTCCATGTTTTTCTTTCTAACTTTTTAAGAACATTTTTTGGTGGAAAACTTTCATTACAACCAGATATTCCTGCTTTTTGCATACATATATAAAAATAGTCAATCCTGAACCTTAGTACTCCTAACAGATAAGCATACTATATTTTTTTCCTACTTTTCCCTTTTACAAGAGACATGAAGAAATTATTGTGCTATACTCCTAAATGAGAGAATTTTTAACCTATATTATGCAATACCATTTTTTAAGTAAATGCAAATTATTTTTTTTTACCTTTAAGACTTATCATCATATCATACACCACTACAATGTATGGCTCAAAAAGAGACTTTAAGCTGAAACACCTTATATTAACATGCCAAAGTTGTTGGATCGGATAGCATATTAAAAAAAGATGAATACAAACAGTTTTAACACTATAAATAAGAGATCCGCTCTCCTCAATATTTTTTATACAAAGTTCTTTAATAAAAGACCAGCGAATAAAATATTCACTGTCCTTTAAGTAGTTAAAAAAAATCCATATCTACATATGTAAAAATTCACAGATATTCAAAACTGAATTTAAAAACTAATGCCTGTTTCTGAATATGCACCACCAGTATACAGTGAGTTTTACACAGGTTATGCATCATACCATTTTGGCTCTTAGTATTAAATTTTGATAAAATGTTTTTTATATATGTTCTATACAGATATTTTTGATAAGATTGTTTTTAGAAGCATACAAATAACTGAACTCAGATGCCGTGACGTCATTCTCTCTATGAGCTTCGAAGGCGCCAAGCAAAAATTAGGGGAATTACCGTTTTGAGATGATAGACAATTGACGTGGGAGCAGAGACGCTGCTTCTGTTCAAAAAGAACTTTGACGATCATTACTTGTTTAATCCTCTTAAATGCTAAATTTATGTAATAATCGTTTGTGTAATTAAAATGTCTTTCGTTAATTAATTTGCTCATTGTTTAAAATCCCCACAAATATATAATAAATATATAAATAAAATATACAATTTAATGGACAAAAAGCATCATTTTGATTACCAATTTATTTATGCACCTTTCATATAATACTGCTGCAAAAATTTAGTTTTTCATACAAAATAAAACTTGCAAACTAAATTTCAATGAAACTTACCTGCACTTTCCAACAGAACACAATGATACAGGATCACCTACAACAGCCACAAGAGATTGAGCTCTTGTGATTGCAGTATTCAGAAGTCTAGCATTAGAGAGAAAGCCATGGTCTAAATCAGATTCTAGCTTTGCTTTCTGACTACATGTTTGACGAGTTCTTACTGTACTCAAAAAAATAACTCTGAACTGTTTACCTGTAAATCAAACAGAAAAGAATATAAGTCATTTAGATCTTGCGAAATGTGATAAAATAAATAATTATCTCACTAAGTAGCTTAATGTCGTTAGCCTTTAAATTAGACAGCATTTTAACTTAATTCATATAATATGAAATCTTATGCATTACTGTTATGTCCTATAATTCTTAAATATATCTGACATAACTATCTTTAAATATTCAGCACATAGATCATACCAGACTGATAGCATAATGGAAAAGTGCTTAAATATCAGACATTTCCATTGATCTAAATTTCTCTTTAAATGCTATGGTACACGATCTTTAATTTGGAACTGGAATATAACCCAGCAAACAACAGCTATCTGCCTAAAGTAGGGATGCCTTCTTGATGAACTTTCTAATGGAAACCAACTTGTATTGAACATTACCCATGGGTAAATCCCCAAAACCAACTATACAGTCTGTTCACCTGGGATCAAACCTGGGCCAAACTATAGCATTCAGCAGTTTTAACCACTCACTTACTAGTGAGGCACTTTTCAATGAGACCGTCATATATTTTCTGTTAATTGATGTAGTCTTAACCTTTCAGCGGTTGTGAGAAATGTAAACAATTCTTTCCACCCAAATATGTGCGATATCTGTTAACTGTAAATTTGTAATTCAATTGCATTTGTTTGCACTCACTATACTGCATAACTGAAATGCAAGCTGAACTCGTTGAAACACAGAAACCCAAATTTTTAAATATAATATGTCAAATAAAATAAATCATGCTTTTTTGTTTCTTTGAAATGATTTAGTTAAATGAATAACTACCAACATTTAATTCTTTTCTAGATCTGGACCTGGCATCTCCTTTCAATTAAAAAAATTGGAAATGCAGAGTATTCACATTTTCTATCTTTATTTTGCAAGATTTATGACCACAATATCCACTGTTCCTATAAATTTTAACATAACTTCATCAACTGATATGAAAACACTATTGTTATCAAGAACTGTATGTGTTACAACATAATGGTTGACTTGCTTGGTTTGTGGGAAGAGGGAGATGAAAGCACACTGAATATGCACCACCAGTATACAGTGAGTTTTACACAGGTTATGCATCATACCATTTTGGCTCTTAGTATTAAATTTTGATAAAATGTTTTTTATATATGTTCTATACAGGTATTTTTGATAAGATTGTTTTTAGAAGCATAGAAATAACTGAAAATTAATCAAAATTGTTTCTTTGCTTTCTTACACCATTTTGTCTTCAAAACAATTTTGTAGAAATGCTCTATCCCCATATATAAGGAAAATCTGCTTTTATTTTCTATCCCTAAAATGATATTACCTTAACTTACCATTACTCATTCATGATATAGTATCTAATGTTTTGAATAAATGGAACTTTATTAGTTGTTTTAACGTAAATTGATATTTAGTTGCCTTATGCAATTTGCCTTCACATTCACTTATTTGAATATTTTAAGAAAGAAATGTTCATTAAAAATTCTGGGGGCTAATGACTGACAAAATAAAAGGAACATACCATATATATACTCTAAGAAAGCTTCTTAAAATGAAGGGGGGGGGAACCCTAATCAATCATCTCTTTGTAATTCTTATAAGGATATTTAAATTTAAAAATTTTTTTTTTAAATTCTTATAAAGATCTATTTTAAATAAACTTCCTGAAAAACTAATAAATTAAAAAAACTAAATTCACCATAAAATGCAGGAACATCTCTGCAAAAAGGAAGTAACACTAAAATATAAAATATGTATTTTTTGTAATATATACAGTATTGCAAAAATACGTGGAAATTTTATTTCATATAATCTAGATTTATTTCTACTTGAAGTACAAAGTGAGACCGAAAAGTAAGCTGACTGATGTCATAATAATAACTGTATTATATATTTATATACATCACTGTCACAAGTAGTTCACACCGTCTACAATGCCCTTCTGACAACATTCATACAAGTTCTGGAAACTTTTAAAAAAGTCTTCCATTTAGACTGTGGTAAGTCCCTTGGTAACAGCAGTCTAGAGATGCTTGAAAATCGGTGTCACTTAAGTGCCAATTTTAGTTGTGGAAAGAGGAAAAAGTCTGCTGGTGCAAGATCATGGAAATAAGGAGGGTGAAACAACTCTGTAAGCTTTTGCTGCTTGAGGAACCATCTAACACACATTTCAGTATGAGGGCATGCATCATCATGCAAAGAAATCACTTGCCTGATGCAGCAAGATGGGGCTGAACACGACGAATGTGAGCCAGGAGGTGCTTCATAACATGGCAATAAAATTTACCATTAACTGTTTGACCTTCCGGTACGTATTCTTTATGGATAATTCCCTATGCATTGAAAAAGGTAATCAACATTGTCTTAACCTTTGATTTTTCGAAACGAAACTTTCTGGATTTCGGCGATGAGGGACCACGACACTCCATACTTTGGCGTATGTGGATCATACATGAAACACCACGTGTCATCTCCTGTAACAATTGACTGTAAAAATGTGTCATCATTATCTGCTACATTGATTAAGTCCCCACAGGAGCTCAATCGCTTGTTTTTGTTCATCGCTTAAGTAATGAGGAAAAGACATCGCACAAAGTTTCCATTTACCCAAATCCTGTGTCAATATTGTTCGGATGATTTCACAAGAAAAATTCAATTCATTCAACATTATTCGGATGAACAAATGGCAATCTTACAGCAATAACTTCCTAACTCTTTCACAACAACATTTGCCGTCGTTCTGCTTGTCAACGGTCTTTCACTGCGGTGCTCATCCTCCATGCTTTCACGACCTTGGCAGAAAAGTTTGAACCACTGAAATACTGTCTTGCGAGATAAAGTTTCTTCGCAATACACACTTCAAAGCGTTTCCAAGGTTTCCATAGCAGTTTTACCCATTTTAAAACAGAATTTTAGATTCATTTTCTGCTCCATTAAGCAATGCACTAACACCTATCACGTTTAAGCAACTGCATGAACAAACACAAAATGAGAAACTTTGCAAATGAATCTGAACTTCAACGTTGCATACCGAAGATCGTAATGCACATGTTTCAGGCCGTCGCTGTTTTCATTTTCGAAAGGAGGGGTAAGTCACCTTACTTTTCAGTCTCACCTTGTATAATGTTTTTTTTTTTTTTTTTTTTAAATAAACATTAAAATTATTCAAAAGGCAAATACTGAATATCTTTTCCACAAAAATTAATATATTTGTACCTTGGACGTTCAGCACTCTTTCAACAGATACACCATGTAATTTTTTCTTTCGTAATTCATTACGAATTCTGACAACCTTAAAGAGAATCCAATTTTAAGTACACTGTAAAATAAAATACTCACACCCTAATTTTCAAATTATAATATATATATATACATTTCTAAGAAAAACATATTACAGATAAATTTACTCTAAACTTTCAAATAAAATAAAACTAGCTTAAAATATGAAACGAATTTTAAATATAAATGATAAATTAAAATATTTATTTGTTAAGGAACCATTTTAGGGCTTTTTCCCCCTATTAAGATTTTTAATTAACTGACATTATAGACTTATAATTAACCGAATTTTACATAACTGACCTTGTATATTTTTATAGGAAAAGATTACTTGATTATCATAAAGCATGTGAAGGCTATCGACCTCAGGGAACGAATTTCTTAAGGGAGGAAATTTTAAATATTCAATGATGAGTTTTAATTAAACTAAGTATTAAAGACCTAAAATCACAAAGCATTTGTAGTTAAAGTATTAACAATTATGTCTGTAATTGATTATGTAAGGGGAATAAAACATCAAATACTATTACAGAAAATGCATAGAGATACAATCATTTATTTATATAGCCATCAAAAAATATTATATGCATTTTGTACTTTAATGCACATATCTACATTTTATCAATTAATTTTTTATTTTAATGTTCACAAAATTTTCAGTTGATCTTTGGATTTTCCTCTTTTTTCTGGAGGGGGGGGGGAGTTCAGAAACATCCTTGGCAAAGTCTTTCTGCAATTTTTTTTACCTTTTTACTATGTATAGTAATACAAGTATTACAACCACTACTATATATATGCTATTCATTTTCCTTAGAAAGTATTGCTACTGCATTAAACAGTTTTCAGTTTATCTTGTATATGTTACGCCTCTCCAATTCTCAGAGCATCACCATCTGGTAAAATAGAAACTTTAGTTTCAATCGATTTTTAATTTATCTTTCAAATTTAATCTGTAAATACATAAAACAGCTGAGCAATATAACAGAAATAAACATATTCCTTGATTTAAATCAATTTTACATTTTAATAATATAATCAGTTGCTACAATTTTAAATAAATTTAATACACAATAATAATGCATCCAAGTGGTAATTTAAACAAATATTTGCAAAATATTTATAAATTTTGCAAATTTTTCTACAGGTACAGGTTTAATGCACTCGGAAGATTAATTGCTTAACAAGGCACATTCATCTAGGTCCACATTAAATTGAGGTTTCAAGCAATAACTGTACAAAAGGTAAAATGAACATACTAAAATATATTCTAAAAAGAGAGAACTGTATTAAAATTATAATATTAACACAGTCCTCATTATTTTATGGAGTTTTCAAGTGTTAATGATTTGACATTAATGTTTAAAATTTAATAAAAAAATAATTGTGAACTATTGAGATCATTTGTGGGTCATTATTACATTCCTTCAGGCAACACTGTTAAGAAATAAAAATTTCTGCTAGCCAATTGAGGAGCTAGCTAACCCAGGATGAATTTTTGCAAAACTTCTAAAATTATGCTTACCTGGTCATAATATGGTGTAACAACTCCTATACTAGTTTCATCTTGTTCACCCCACGATTTGGGCCATTTCTTCTTTAATTCAATTACTCTCTCAACTATTTCATAAACCTAAAAACAAGAAGACATTTTATTTAATGTAATGAATAAGAATAAGCATACACTTAAATTTTTAATATAAATTTACACCTTAAATTTGTAAATGTACTTGTCCCCCCTGCATTAATTTAAAGCAACTAGAATTTGTTAACTCCTTTAAGGGAAAGGATGAAATTTTCAATTTTAAAATACACATACACAATAATACCATACTATTAGATAACTTCAAAATTATTAATATGGTAAATTCTGCAACTCTAAAATGCTCATCACCAGATGAAAATTCTTAATGTTAGTCGATATACAATTCTAAATTTCTAAAATGAATAATAAGAAAAATTAAATTTGAAAAATTAAAGTGGAGACTCAAAAAGAGTTTAGAACCTTACTATAATTTAAAATACAAAACTTTTTTCTCCTTTAGATTATGAAAAAGTAAGGTTTTAGTATATACAGAATAAGAGTAAAATATCATTTCCATAGTATTTTAGTTGAAAGTTCATCAAAAATCAACTTACGAACCTCAGCATTATTATGAAAAGCAGTACTATTGCAATCCTGGACATCTTCCCCTCTCGCAGTGAAGAAAGTCAAGGGGTAATACTTTTTATGACGTGGTTGTTGTCCACTAGCTAGAAGATGATTATCATAAAATAATTCTGAAGTATACTGGATTATTGCCTCATGCGATCGATAATTCTCGCAGAGTAAAACTTTACAAGGATAGTCTTCAGGGTACAAATCATACAATCTCTCCAGAAGTGAAGTATGCAGATTTCTTTGTTGTGCAAACTGAGAATAAACTTCTGGGCTAAGCTGGAAAATAAATAAATAAATAAATATTTAGAAACTACAGAAGATAATCAATTCAAATATAATTTAGATAAAAACAAGCTATAGTTTTGAAGTCATTATTTATTATAGACAAATATACAAATATATACAGACGGGCCATGGGAATTTGACAATTTTGACACTGATGCCAATACTATGAAACATAACTCAATTTTATTTTACAAACATGTTATATAATGTCATTTTATTATAATAATGCCTTTTATGCCTCTTAATTTTCCCACATCATACTTACAGATTGTTCTCTGTGAAATTGGACAATTTTTTCAGCAGCTGACAATACTATTGTTTATACAGAAAATAAATTATTATGCCTTTAAGTTACAATAAAGCAGTAAATTGCTTAGTATTCAAAGTAGAAACTTTCTTTCTTCAAGAAGAGCAAGTAAGTTGTGACTTATACTGTCATTTTTCTTTCTTAGTCATGGTGCTCAGAAATAAGATATAGTTGTGGATATAGAACTCCAGATCAACAATTCCTGCTTTAAAAAGAAAACCAAGTCCCATGTGCAACGTGAGAACTTCACCAACCGCTGAGACAATGAGACAGACAACATTAAAGAGTCCTTAGCATTCAAATTGAAAAACATTCCAGTATTCCAAAAATAAGAAATCAAACAGAGAAACCACAATAATACAAACAATATCAATGTCTACTGTTAATCAGTAAGTTTATTTGTATGCAGGCTATTTTTTAAGTTAGACCCATTCTGAATGTAGCTTGAAGTTTCAAGTGCACTTGAGAAGGAATGTACGTGCAGGTTGCTGGGATTCTTTGTGCAAAATCCAATACATGTATATTCAGGATGTCAGTTTGTATGCTTTAGTCCAAGATTAAAATGTTTAGGAAAATTGAACACCCTGCCAACTGAGTAATCTGGTTCTTAACAGCATGAAATATGAAAGCTGCAGATATTCATCACCATATGTGTGAAGTAGACATGACAATGCAACGAGTGCAGTTAAATGCAAAAATGGATGATACTGTTCAAGGAAAACTGGAACAGATGGAGAAGTGAACACGACTATCACAGGCAGCAATGTCCTAAGAAAAGAATATCCAAAACCCTTAGTATTTGTTACAATAAATGTTTAAACTTCTGAAAACATTACTTAGAAAAATACAGAATTGTCTGTAAATTCAGAAAACAAACAGTTTTTTTTTAATGTTTTGATTGTTTTGTTTTTATTTCAAAATGGATCTTAAAAAATAACCCTTGTATTTGATATTGTAAAAATTTTACTTACATATCATGGTGTTATATTCAATCTCAAAATCATCAGATTTCTGCAGTTATCTTTTATTTCACACATTTATGCATCTTCATACTTTTGTTATATATTTTTAGTTGATTACTTTTCAAAAATTTGTAAATACAGTATTTTGCATATATGCATCAAATATCTTACAAAAATAGCAGCTTATGTTAATGTTGAATGTAAAAAAATATGCATTACTTTTCAAATACGACATTAACATATGCACAACATTCCTTTTAAAACAACATTCAACACATAACATTCCTTAAAATATTTAAGAAAACAAACATTTAACACAAAATTTTTTTTCAGCATTTCTTTTTTCAAAACATTCCTTTTTGAATTTCTTTTTTACAACATTCCTTTTTAAATTCCTTTTTTACAACATTGCTTTTAAAACAACATTCAACACATAACATTCCCTTAAAATATTTGAGGCATAGTTTCTAGTATACTGCAAAACACTAATCTGCAAACTATTCTAAAATTACATATGTATGCGAGTGTATAAAACATGTAGACTCATAATTAGCACAAAAATTACCTGCATATGATCTCCAGCCAGGACAATGCGTGTATTTTCATTTGCTAATGATAACGGCATAATTGCCTCACATTCCATAGCTTGAGCAGCTTCATCAATAAGAATATGAGTAAAAAAACCTGAAATGAAACACAAAATATTTAACATTATTAACTAGCAATTGTATTTTAAAAAACAGAATGCCTCGATTATTTTTAAAACAGATTAAAACTGGTTTTTAAGACAAGACATATATCAGAGACAAAGATACATTTAGATAGCTAAATTATAAACTAAGGCAAAGCTGACAAGAAGTAATTTAACAGAACTGATTTTGTGAAGGATTATCTAATATAAACTGATATGGTTTATGACAAATTATGAGAAAACTAATACACAGATAGATAAAACTATCAGTATTTCAATATTTTTCCATAATTGGTTGCACAATAGTCAACTCTGAGGCATAAAATTTCATACTTCAATGACTTGCAGTACTAAACATCACATTTTATGACAAAAAATGCATGTTTTATTGACTGGACAGGAAACTGGCTCGGATACACATTACACATGGGGAAAACCATAAAAATGTATATGTATGTAGGTGCAGAAACTGACTTAATTCACTATTCTGCTAAGTTTCAAATGCAAACTAATATAGATGCTCTGTTAGGCTTAGCTGCATTTAAACAAATTTTAAACTGTTGATAATTCTATAACTATTGCATACAGATTAACTAAAGGCATAATGGATGCAATCTCTTGATTACACTCCAGCACTGATGTATGTATATATGCCTGCATCATTATGTAAGAATCATGTGACATTGATTAATTCCAAAATGAGGCAGTTTGAAATTATTTATTACTATTCTTAGGCAGTAAAGGAATACAGCCACATTAAAATGGAGAGTTAAGGGACTAGTACAAATTAAAGCTTGAATCTCAATTTACATATTTTTTAGCTTATAACAAAATTATTAAACTTAATTGGAACTATTTAGCAACAGACCTTCAGATTCATAAATTTAATTAAATGAATCCCTACTTCAAATGATACATTCTGCAAGATGTTACAACAATCTTTCACAGCAGCATGTGCATTGCTGCAAACATTAGTCCAATTGCTACTCAGGATTAAGACAAAGACTTTCTGGCTGTAAATACGAGGACAATAAGCATGCATTATTTTTTCTTACCTACTGCTGCTTGAGTAAACCATGTCTCTTGCTTTGACTTCCTTCTATATTGTTTCAAATGTAAACTATATAAACATAGATATTGTGGGCTGCGTTTAGCACCCTTAGTGTTGCACCAGTTTTAAGTAAAGATGTAACTATTCCTGTGCAAAATAAAAATGATGTTTTAACCATCACATCAAGTGTGATTTTTACACCAGTCATAATCTAAGCAACAGTCTTCTAGGCCATGACTAAGTGAATTAGTTTAGTCTTCTGCAAAAACTACAACATTACACGTGTGTGTTTGGTAAGTATGCCCATTTAGGACTGACGTCACTAAAGTTTGCTACCAGCACAGCACAGAGATGAGCTCTAGATGTGAACAGAAGCAAATGTGCCTCAGTTCTGGATCCAAGGCTGACAATCTATGAAACTGCAAGGCAGAGAATCATACTGTTGAGCCTTCAAGAAGTAATAAGCGTGCAAAAAGGTCAAAAGTGATGTTCAGCGATTGTGTAAACGTTTTAACTTGGTTTAAGATAAAATGAGGTGCCAAGACTATGTAAATCATCTTGTGAACTATTCTATAACTGTATCATCCTTGTGGGATCACCAGCTATTATGTTAATATTACATCTAGCTCTTTTCATTACATTATAATAGTTTTGTAATAAAGTAGTGTAGTTTAAACTTTTGTCTCGTGCTCCAGTAATCCATAACTCACAGATTATATATATATATATATGCATATGTATAACTATGGTTAATTATAGTAGATATATCTAGCTGAATGATTTTGATTTTAATTGAGTCCCACATCTACTACAATGGTCATCGATATGCCTGAAAACAAACAGGTAAATAATATATCACTAACAATGTCCTCGAGTTACAGCTAACAATGCTTTTATTCCAAAGAAATTCTGAAGCGAAAAAAGGGGGACTAAGAGTTACTGGAAGACACAATCTATAGTCACCTATATTTTTATTTTTTAAAACATATCCTAGAATATATGGAGGGTTTTACATTCAAGGACAGTCTCATTTTAAACTAAATACATTGATATAAAACGCAAGATAGACTGCAGCCAAAATCTTTTTCTACATAACGTCAAGAAAAACAAACATGTATTTGAATGACTAAATAGTGAAATTGAAGCAATTCCCAACAATTCAGCAATCATAATATATTCACAATTTGTTACTGAAAAATTCAACTAGTTAGTAGTTTAGCAACTGTGATTTACTAAAATCTAAACTCACATTAAAATGTATCAATATATACATAAAAATAATGGTATTCTATGAAATATCTAATCGATGTCCATTTTTGTAGGGAATGTTAAAAAGACAAGCCTAACTAGCATTTACCGATCAAAAGTTATCAAACACTTTCAAATATGCAACTCAAAGAGTTATGTCATTTGATAGTGAATTCAGCAGTTTGCATTAAGTGAATGTATGAGCGAATTTTTGCAATACAACATTTGATTTCAGTGTGTAAGAGCTCAAAATGGTTTATTATGGCTCCAAAGTGCGTTTAGAAGTATCTATGAAGTGGTGAATTATTGGCCAACAGGGTAGACAGCCGTGGAAGCATTGAGATGTGTGAATATTTCAAGAGACAGTCTCTTTCCTACAGAAATAATTTCAGAATTTTGGGACTGATATAATGACCCAAGTAGCACGGCAACGTCGTAATGACGTTGCAAACTAGTGCGAGTCATGTTGCAATATGTCGTCTTTAAGATGCCCAGATGTTTGCAAAACTCCACTGTTTTGCAATCGTTGCAAAGACGTCTTAATTACACCTTTACAGATGAGGTTTTTGTTGCATAGTTTGTTATTGCGTCTTTCGAAGGTGATATTTTGGTTGTGAAAGCATCGTATCATGACATCTTAACGATGCCTAAATGTTCACAAAATTCCACCTTTTGGCAACAGTTTTGAAAATGTCATTATGTCCTTGTGTGACATATTTATGCAGAAAAATAAGCTTAATAATTAATATATTTTTCTTCTTTTTTAAAATTTTGTATTCCTTGGATTTTTCTAAAGTTTAAATATTTTATCATTTTCTGAAAGCCAGAAGATAATACAATTTTTTCTCTTTAGACTAAATATGCATAATTAATAATAGCCTTAATTATTTTCAGTACTTTAAACTATAGTTTTTTAATTTCTCTTTAGACTAAATATGCATAATTAATAATAGCTTTAATTACTTTCAGCGCATCATTTTTTTTAAGTGAGAGTAATTATGAAAGTGGTTATTATAAATATATAACATTAATAGTAGGTTTTAAGTAAATAAAACTCAATTAGACAAATAAAAGTAAAGATATATATGTGAATAAAAAAAAAAAAAAAAAAAAAAAAAAAAGAGAGAGAGAGAGAGAGAGAGAGAGTGTTTCTGGTAACAGCATTATCACATTTTTTTCTGTTAAATCTCAGAGACATTGAAAATTACCTTTGCCATGATAAATTAGGAGGCAGTTCTTAAGGTAACAGAATCAGCATTTTACCATAAGTATACTCCAAGATATGCAAATCAAAGACTGTATAAAGCAGTTAATAAATGTGAGCAAAAATATTTCATACAAAAATATACCTAAATCTAATAACTTCATATCTAAAATATATATCTCTATATTCATATCTAAAATGAAGTAATAACCCAACAAACAACATACATGACAGCACTATTTAAGAAAAAACATGAATTAGCAGTGTTTGAAAGTATAAATAGCAGAAGGAAAGTAACAGAACTAAAATTCCCAATTAGTACAAAAATATTCATGTTTTTTAAATAGTAAGCAATTAAAAGTGCAATAATTATGGATTGCAGTATTTACTAGTAATGCTGATGTTTCTTAACTCCATTTCTTTGGATCATATGTTAATGTATTTACTTATTTTTAGTTTCTACATTTTAGAATAGTGGCAGATTACAATGATTATTTCACGCACTTTTTATAATCAATAGCTTTCCTTTTGTTACTGTACAGAAATAATTTAAATAATATAGTATACGATAGTAAGCTAAGTACGTTAAAGTAAGCTCTTCGTTAAATAGCACACGATGAAACTTTTTGTTTCTATTTAGTATGAATTTCTTTATCACAAGCACATAAAAAGTAAGTGAAGAAAATAGAATATACTTAAATTTAATAAAAAATAAAACCTAATTTCCAACATTCATTTATTGAAATAATCTAATAAACATACATAATGGCAATATTTAAAAAAACACGTGAATTACACAGTGCTTGGGTGTTTTTTAATATTACACAATTAAATATCATATAATTATAGATTACAATATTTCAAAGAAATGCTAATGTTTCCTTAACATTATTTTTTCAGTCATTCATACACTGTTCAAAATCATTAACCTTTTCTGCATACTATATATAAAAGACAACACACTATAGAATGTGCATTATTATTAATTTTAGCTATTACACATATCTAATTCATCTTCAGCAGTCATATTAAGTACTGGTACCAATCCAATAATTTCTTTGTATTTTGAAAATAATGAACATACCATAACAGCTTGAATTGTTGATGCTTCTGTATTGATTGCATTTTCAGTAAAACCAGAAAGTGTCTTACCATTGTATGTTATTTTTGATTTTATATGAATTAATTCTGAGACCCAACCTTTCAATATGGACACAATAATTGATTAATACAAATGAGATGCAATTTAGCACTTAGGATGTTATAACCGAAGCACAAAGCTAATACGAGTATCCAAATATTGCACCGCTGGAACCACAGAGATAGGAGAACACCACTGAAACACATAAAACACCAAAACAGAACACTATTTCATGAACACTACATTCCACAGACCGCTATAGACCACAGTAGACACAATTTCACGAACACTGATTCACGATAGCAGATATTCACAAACAAAATAAGCACAAATTCAACATTCTCACAATGATTTCTCCTAAATTCAGAGGCTTACAAACAGGAGCTCACAGCAATGGAATTCACTCGCTGAAGGCAATTGAAGTAAGTAGATACAGAACAATAAAAAGATTCACAATGCGTTCTTTGATTGAACAGTGCATTACGTTAACTTTAATAATATAATACAATATTATTTATGTCAGCCATTGCTTGATTCAATTTTAAACATGAAGTAAGTCTTTTCAAACGCCTTACAGATGGCATATTTTACCCAATGACCAGAAAGAACTGCTAGAATCTGAATTAATTGCGCAGTCATCTTCGAACTTTGACAGCTAGCCAAAGCGCGCAAATCTCGAGATGTTCAGTTATATAAGCATCCAGTAAATAATGTACCATTCTGCTTCTCCTGAATGTCGATGAGTTTTCTATCATAGATATTGGACAGCCATTAAATATGCATAGTCTTTTAACATTGGACATTTTCTCGAAATTATTAAAATCGCCCCATTTTTACCCGTGACTACATTTTCATGCACAATCATATCTTCACGAAAACTGTACTTTTTGCACTGTATGCGGTAAAATGTTTCATATAATGTCACCATATTAATTCAAATAAATTAATATGGTGACATTATATTCAATAAATTCAAATAAATTTGTCCTTACTTCAAAAATAATAAATAAGTGCTGAAATAAGTCAGATTATAAATAATAATAAATAATACAAATAAGAATTCAGTTCTGAAATAAGTCATATTTCAGCACTGAAATAATTGCCCACATGTGATTTGCATTGATTTCGGAAATATGATTTTATAAAATATATAAAATGCATAACTTAATAACTTACTTTATAGATTAGTTTCATTTAAAAATATTTTGCTATAATATTTATAAAAATACTTTAGTATTAATTATTTTAGCAAAATTTTAAACAAATTATTAGCATGTATTTTAGTACTAATTAAATTTAATAAATCAAAAGTATTTATATTAAATTTATATTTCATTAGATGAATCTACCTTAGATTAATATATTTAAATGAAATAAAGTAATGAAACATTGCAAAGTAAATCTTATGTGGACTTCAGATTCTTGAAAAAGCAGATTTAGTCTCTTTTCATTCTAAAAGTAATGCTGATGAACTATGAAAAAATGCTAAAACAACCACATGTAAAAGCAATCATATCATGACGTTTCAGCAACATCGACAAATTGCCAATATGCAACGGCAAATACTTTGTGTCTTCGCAACATTGTAAAGATGTCGTAAAAGTTACCACGAGCTCTCGGACCAGCTTGCAATATCATGTGCAATCTAGGGAAGTCTAGACAAAATCATAAATGAATAACAACCATTTCTCAAGATTGATATCTGGCAATAATTGACCATCATAACAAGTCTACTGCTCAGAGCTTGCAGCTGTCATTGGAATTGTTGTTATCAAGACAAACTGTATAAACAAGGTTTAATGAAAAATGCCTTTATGCCAGAAAGCCAAGAATATGTGTTTCAATGTTTTCACAACAAACAAAGGATCACTTAATTTACTGCAAAGAACATCAGAACTTGAGTGAACACCAATAATCCCATATTCTCTTCACGAATTAGTCGAGATTTAGTTTAACATGATTCTAAACGTGCTTACATCTAGAGAAAGTCAGGAACTCTAAATCTTCCTTCGAACATTAGGGAGCAGGACTGTTTCAGTAGTTCCAGATGTGATGGTATGGGGAGGAATAATGCTTGATGGATATATTACACATTTTCAAGGGCCAATCTGTGACTCGTCCTTGAAGATATCAGGATGAGGTGTCAGAAACTTGCATAAGACTTTTCAGATGTGCATATGTATCTGACTTTTTATTTATGAACAATAATGCTAGTTCACATTGAGCCACTTGAAAGTCAAGACATTGAGCAACAAAAGAGCATTCTCTTTCAGCATATGTGTGCAATTCAGGGTAGATCACATTTCATATTAAATTCATATGCCTTAATTTATATGCCCACCCCTGGAACTCTCTGTTTAACATAGTATTACTATTTTTATTGTTTCATACTCTAGTTTTCTCTCTTATTATTTTTTTCCCCTTTATATTTATGTGTTATGAGATTATGCATCATTCCATACAAATTCATAAAATTATATACACAGCTTCTGAAAAATCCATGATCCATGATTCCATATGCATGTAAAGATAATTTTGGACATGACAGTATTTAACTTATCTCGAAGGGGAAAGCTAATTCTTACTTCTAGCACTGTTATGAAAAACCAATCAAAGTTTATTTCTCATCTTATTTAAAAACACATGAAAACCAACTTACCAGACATTATACAATATAAAAAAGCTTTGACAGCTTCTCTATATAAGCATGATAAACAATTTAAGATTTGAGCAAAGGCTAACAGATTTATATACTATAGCAAACAATATAAAATCCTTTTTTGGAAGGTGGTGATTTTTAAATTTACACAATTTAGTAACTAACTGACGCAAGAAAATTTAGTAGTTCACATTAAGTCAAACAAATAAAAATGCAATTGTTTAACGGAAGAAAGTTGTAACAAATCAATGCTTAATAGCGTAATGAAAGTTACCTTTTTCTAAACCAAGTTGAACTAGATATCGTGATGTGCTTAAAGTTGTCACAATCACTCGGTGCTTCTTAACATCATCAACATTTGGCATGTTAAAATTCCTGTCACTACCAGCAGTAGACACTAAACAGTACTGTTGAACAGTAGGATGAACTGTAGCTACCCATCGATGGCGATAGTATATACGAAGAGGTGTAGCTTCTATTTTTCCTTCAGCAACTTGTGGATGGAAATATTCTCGGATATAAATGTCAGCAGCACTATAAAAATAAAACAATATATTTTAAGAAATTTCATGCATGAACATAAATAAGGAGTGATAAATATTCCCTCTTTTTCAGATGAAAATTTGGTACTTTTAGGCTACATTTGGTCTTTCTTGATATTTTTGGCAATAACAGATACTTCATAGCCATTTGCATTATTTGAGCTTACTTGCAACATTCAGCACATCATGCTAAGGTGGTATATTTTAGGTAGTTTATGTAATTAACTGTTTATCAATGCTGAAGAAAATAAATACTATTTAAAAAATTTGTCACGTACAGATGCAGAAGTTATTACTGTTTTTCAGGAGTCTGGTATTCATCCTACGGTGAAAAACCTTGCCAAAACGACCATATAATGAAGTTTAAAAAAGTAAATAAGGAAGTACAGGTATGGTAGTGGGGCATAAGAAGAATGTTGAGAAAAATCTAGTCTTTGCCATTTGGAATTGGTTTTAGGGCAGTAAAATACATTTAGTCACATTATGATTCATTTAGTTAGTAAGAAATGACATCTATCATACACCGTGATAAAGAAATCAATGCCACCAGAAATTAGAATTGAATGGTGGAATTATCTACATGAAATTGTGTGAATTATATTAGACAAGAAGATAAGGGGAGAAAATAAAGCTATAGAAGTTGATGAAAACATATTTACTAAGCAAAAGTATGCTGAGAGACAATTAGCAGAATAGCCCCATTTTTACGTTTAATTATCATTAAACAATCCCGTTTAATTATCATTAAACAAATTAATCTTTCTCAAAGATGATTAAGAACCAGAATATAAAAATTTGATCAAACTGATTATCAACAACATAGCATAAAGCTCACTAATATATATATATATTTTTGGAAGTAAATAAAGTGAAATGGTGACAAGGCTATCTTTTTGTCACAGAAAAAGGGTGACAAGAAAATGTGATTGGAGATAATAAGTACTGAAAATTTGTTAAATATACTGACAGAATAAGATTTTTTTAATTTGCAATTTTTTATACAAAACTGATTATATAAATACAGGGAATTAGAGGGAGCAACATGATACATATGAAATATACAAAGGCAGTAAATGCGACAAAAAAAAAAAAAAAAAAAAAAAAAAAAAAAAAAAAAAAAAAAAACAAAAAAAAAAAAAAAACTAGGTAAAAGTAGTACTTTACCTAGTAATAAAATTATTTGAAATTTATAAATTAATTTTCAGCAGATTAAAAAATATGTAATTTACAAATCATTTTTATTTTATTTTTATTTTTTTTTTTTTATTTTTTAAGTTCCTTCTGACATTATTATAAATAGTTGGGTCAATGTAGAGAGTCTTTTTTAGTTCCTTCTGACATCAATTTACCAAGACAGAAAACAAAATACATTTATGCTGATGCACAAAATTAAGTTAAAGAATGAAACAACTTACCTATTAGAATGGGTACAGACTAAAACTCTAGAATGAGGATCACTTAAGATTATTTTAACAGCTTGGGCCAGAGTAAATGTCTTCCCAGTTCCAAATGGACCAATTATTAAAACTGGAGGCAATCTGATAGACAAGGGTGTAGTGATGGCTAAAATAGCTTCCTTCTGCTTAGGATTCAGCCTTGGTTCCAAATTAAAATTCTCATGCCTGAAAGAGAAGTTGTGAATTTTCAGTCACATCAAATAATATGAAAAAGTTTATTATGTTTGACCTCGAGGATTCTCACTAAAATTCCACTTTTAGTTTCTTCAGCTTTCTCAAACCAAACAAGATGAACTAGTTATCAACTTTAAATATGAGTAACCAAGCTACTTTTGAATGTTTCTTACAAAATACAATGCAATAACTATGAGCAATACAAAAATTTAATTTATCTCACTTACTACTACAAAGCAAATGAAAGAAAGGATACATTAAATATGCATCTAAACTAGTGTTTCCCAAGCACTGGTCCATGGAACTTTCCTGCTAGTCTATGAAAAATTTAAGCATATTAATGTCCCTTCTACAGGAGAACCCAGACTTTTATAAGTTTTCCAGGTGTGTTTTAAGAAAATTCCAGTCTAGCCAGGTAGTGCATGCTGGCTATGCTGAAGGTAAATTAATGATGGTACAACTTGAGAACAAAAAAAAATTTGCTAATTACATGACTTTGACCAAAAAAAAAAAAAAAATTACTTTCAAATCCCCAAAGCATTAAACAGTAGGAGTTAATCTCCTGGGTAACTTCCAAATTAAGTTTTTGCCAAACTAAGAAAAATTGCTATGCAATATTTATGTACTTTAGCACTATCTCAATTGCATCACAAAATTAGTTCATTCCAAATAAATTCCCTTCTTAATTACCAGAAAAGAGTACATTCCCTTTTCAAATACAAGAAAAGAATATATAATACCAGAAGTGACTGTTACACATCTGAAATATATGCAGACACTGATATTGAAATACATTTATTACAAAATGTCAGCACAAATATAATTAGTTAAAAATTAATTTTACATGTATAAAAACATACACTTACAAAAGAAATTAAATGCTTACAATTCAGCAAACAAAATCAGAAATGAAATTCATTGATTTTTCAATGCCATGTGTAAACTTTTAAATACCGGATTTTTTCCACCATTAACTGTGATAAACTTTTGTCATGAATGACAACTTTGTTTGAAAAAATATCAAAAATAAATTCAGGAATGGAAGTTGTTGTTTATAAAAGGGCAATAGGGAAGCAATTCACACTAAAGGATAACCAAGTACCAACTCAATTTATTGATCTTTATTTCAAAAAGGCAGGCATTAATTTTTATCTTTTAGTATAAGATATATGAAGGCTAAATCCAAAACCTTTAATAAGGAGGATAAAGTTGTATGGCTATTATTAGAAGATTTGTACATACATAAATAGTACAAAGTATAAAAATTTTTAATATTCTTTTTCTGGCTTCTAAGCTTTTACTAACCTTTTACTAACTCAGAGCCAATTTATTTTCTTAAATCTCAATTACAGCTTGTTTTGCATGAAGATTTTTAACTTTTACACTATCGTTTTTCTGTTTCATGACTTTTAGCCAGAAATTTAAAAAATAATTTACTTACTTATTCAATTTAGTCACACTTTCTAGCCATGCCATTACAAATGTCACCAACCTAATTTATGCTATTCTCATAAACCTGGCAACAGCACGGAAGACATCTGCCCTTGGTATAAAGAATAATACAATGTTCATTGTACTTACTAGAACAATGTATAGAGTAAGCTTTCGGTTTTTAAAATTATTCTGGCCTAATTCATTTTTAAATTAGATATTTCATTTAATTAAACATTTTTTATTTGTTATGTATATTCCTTTTATTTACATTTGCATTATAATGTTTTATTTTCAAATTTTTACATGTTTTGTTCATCTCGTTGATTCGAAACTTACGTTTTGTTCTAAAAGTATTTTTGCATTTAAATAAAGTCTTTCATTTCAAATAATTTTTAATTAATTTACTTTGTGTAAGAGAATTCTTGATATGCATATGAGTATGGTAAATGTGAGGAATTAAATTAATATTCGCATTTAATTTCATTTCCAATTTCGATTTGCATATGCATAGCAAGGATGAAGAATGATGTTTGAACGGTCGAAAGGAGTGTCAAAAAAAGGTAATTCCCTCTGAAGGGTCGGTATTATTTCATTATCTTTTCAATTGTTCATTTCTAAGTAATTTTCTTTATAAGTCTTTAATTATCATTAACAATTTTATGTATATCCACTACTATTGGCCATTGATAGTGAAGCAATTTTTCCATGCCAATTTAAGTTTTACTATTTAATAGTTGTAAAAAATTTTTCTAAACTTTTTTTTAAATTAAAAAATTTTAATATTACTTAAAAACCATGAATTTGTAAACTGGAATTTTTTAGATTTCAAATCATAATTCTTTTACTTTCTTAATATAATTTGAAATATAAAAATTTTAATAGGAAGTATCCCCCTTTAATTATATTTTTATATATCCTATTAAATAATATATAATATATAACTCCTGAACAATCACCTCTGTAATACTATGACAGTGGCCAAATTCTGAGAGGTCAAAAAAGGAGATTTTATATATATATTTATTTAAGAAGTCAACAGACTTTTTTATGGAAAACTTAATATATACATACATAATATAAATTAAATGTAACTTTTGATTAGAATTGAAGAGGGGAAAAAGTCATTTAGAATATTAGAAAACATTTTTTAAATCCAATGGTGGACACATACCTATTCAGCACTGGCCACTTCTAAGGCCAATGCCTGAATGCAAAAGTGGTGGCCTTTTACTGTGAAGGTACATAATATATGGCCACCATTGCCTCCCATGAAGGGCCAGACAGTTAGAACCATGCTTTCCCCGGAATTCAAACCCAGACCCTTCGGTATCTCAAAAGGCTACCCTAACCATTATACCGTCCAGGCTAGTGGTTAGGGAAACACAAAACTAAATTTGTTGTTTTAATTCTGCAGTTTGTGAATCAACTGAAGAAATATCCCTGCTTAATGTTTGTTTGTTTTTTACTCCAAAATTTTACGTTTTGTTTGTGCTTTCCTTTTGTCCGATATTTTTTTTTTTAAATCTTTTTCTTCACTGTTACACAGCTTTTTGTTTTAGAGTGTTTGATGATATACACCATGAGCAGATCTGGCACATCGTAACTAATTAGAAGTTATACTAATATTCATCACATTACAATTTACTTTTATGACATCATAAATAGTTTGTATTGCTGCTTAATAATTTACTGAGAAACCATTTTCTACTTTGGTAATGCCACGTGATAAAAATTAGAACTAGTTTTACAGCATTTCAAAGTTCTTCAAAATCTGAAAATTGAAAGAAGCTGATTTAGCTTACTATCCAAAGTTGAGTACAGAAAGGGAGACATACGATCAGCTGTCTGAAATGATTTTAGAAATGGATGTTGGGCTCCAGTAACAGAAACAAAAAGATTTTTGCCAAAAGAAGTTTATCTTAACAGCTTCTCTTCCAGCTGACACAGCATTTCAGATGATTTCATATATTTCTTTACATGAGGAAAAATATAAATAGCTTTCTCAACAACAGGTATGTTTTCACATCATCTTATTTCACAAAATTTTAGCAGAAAAGTTACACAGTTAGTGATGGTACTATATCATTTAGCCTGACTATCTTTAAACACTCTATGCATGTCTTTAAATAATGCACTTAGATTCCAGTCAATAGATCAGTGCTCAGCTCTAAAGGCTCAGTGAATGACATGCCCAATATCTAATATGCGACAGCCCCGAAAAATGAATGAATCCGAGTTCTGAGCCATTTCTTTCTCTTTGGTAAGTACTACTTAAGATCTCTGCTGATGGCATGTTGTAAGAAATCTGATTTTTTAAGCACTTCTTTTATTTTATTTTTTATTTATTTATTTATTTTTAGTTTTGCATTAAGCAAATTTTCTTTTGATAAAATCTGAAAAACATTGTAATGGAAGAAAAGAAAGACCAAATGGCAAAATCATAACACTTTTTAATATAGTTACAGACAAGGATAATATTCCAGAGAAAGGCAGTGCTGGTTCTGAAAGCAGGGCTGAAGAAGAAACAAAGAAAAGAAAATATGTTGATATTTCAGAATGTATGGTAAAAATAAAAAAAATAAAAAAAAAAGAAGGACGACGACTTTGTTAGATATTATGATAAAGGTTATTTAAAGCTTGGTTTCATTATAACTCCTAGCAGTAAAGTATCACCAAGACCTTTATGTGTGGTGTGTGCCATGAAATTTTTTCAAATGATACTATGAAACTGACTTGTCATTTGCAATATCGAATATCACCATAACGAGAAGAACTGCCGACATGGGCTACCAATGTAGAAATTCAAGTTATGGAAGGGATCAATAAATTAAAACGTTTTCTGATTCAACTGAATCAACTGATGTGAATAACCATGTTATCTTACTTTGCTTCGTGAGATATAATAACAATAAAGACTTATGGGAAGAACATCTATGTTGTCTTAACTTACCTGTTTGGACCACAAGTTAAAAAATATTTAATATACTTAATGAGTATTTTAAAAATCATGGCTTAAAGTGGAGCAAATCTGTTGGCATGTCTACAGACAGGGCTGCTTTGTTCAATTGTTTCATGATTTACAAAGAACACCAAAAGAGCTTTTTCTCTGAATTAAATACAGAGACGAATGAAACAGTGAAGATAATTAACAAAATTTGTAGTCGTGCTACAAATTTAAGACTATTTATGACTTTGTACGAGAGTATGGATTCAGACCACCAATGTTATTTACTCCATGTGATAGTGAGGTGGTTACCAAGAGGAAGGGTTCTTGCACAGCTTTTCAAACTGACAGAAGTAAGCATTCCTACTCGAATGAAAATCTGATCTACCAGATAATTTTTTGAATGAGAAATGGATGGCTAAACTTGCGTAGGTCTTCTTAACGAACTTAATATTTCTTAGTATGAATATTTTTACACTTAGAAATAAAATGGAAGCTTTCAAAAACAAACTGGCTCTTTAAGTACAGCCGCATACAACAGAAAGCTTTAAAGTGTTTCACTTTTTGGAGAATTCTTGATTTCTGCCAACATTTATCAAAATATCATATTCAGCATAATATATCAACATTTAGAGGTGTTAACTGAAAACTTTAATCATAATGTCTCTGAAACTGAGGATCCACATAAACTACAGATTAATAATGCTTTCTTGGAAGATGTAAATTCATGTGCAGTTGATCTTTATAACAAGGAAAAACTGATCGAATTGTCTTCTGATGTTACTCTTGCATCAAGACATAAAATGCAATCATTTATTCAATTTTGATATCTCTTAATAAAGAATATCCATCTCTCTGTTATGAAGTTATCAAATTTATTTTTTTAACTTTCTACTTATGTGGAAAAAACTATCAGCTATGTCAGTTATAAAAACCAAAGAAATCAATTGCATGTCAAAGAAGCACATACTCTTGCAGAAGCAAACCTGCAACCATACATATCAAATTTATTAAAAAGTAAGCAGCAACAAATGTCATACTGACTAAAATTTACATTTGTATACCATTAGATTTAATAAATAAAATATCTATTTGTATGTAGTTTTTTTTTTATTCTTTGTTGACACCAGTCCATAAAATAATTTCCCCATTTTCGTCAGTCTGCAGGTATAAAAGGTTGGGAAACACAACACTGATCTAAACCATTCAAAAAGTAGGATTTTTTTAGGAGGGGGGGGGAGCTAACAAATTCTAGAAAGTGTTACAGATGAAATCTTCTTAGAGAAGAATTTATAATATTATAAATTCATAATATTGTCCTTATCAGTATAGGGGTAAGCAATGCTGGCTCCCATATGCCTAAGCCCAGGTTCAAATTCTAGTGAGGGCTTCAGAGCTTGTAAATGTGTAGTGCCTATATGGTATGGAGGCACTAAGAATACTGGCAAGCTGAGAGTGCTCTCATAGGGATAGAGGAAGAGGGCTTGAAGACCTTCCGATTCATTCCCCAATGTGTTCTACATCAAACCTCGTACGGAACTTCTCCCTGGGCAATATTCTCATTAATGAGTCTGATAAATAACCAAAGAGTATTGGATATTCCTGATGAATGCATTAAATTACAAATGTCCAGCCAGTTAAATAAATATAAATATTATTCTTTTGGTGTTTCAAAATAAAATTAAGGAGTTTAAACTTAGGTTGAATTTTAAAAACTGTGTAATTAATAATACACTATCTACCAATAAGTATTTGGACACCTGCGATAAAAAAAGAAAAATATGTCACCCAAGTCCAACCACACTGCTTGGTTAACGTTATAGTGCATTTAATGGTGCACTATCACATTAACCAAGCAGAGTGGTTGGACATGGGTGATCAAGGCTTATGGACAGCAGCACAATCATGAAAACTAAGCAGATGTGTTTCTGTATAGATGGTATTCATCAAAACTACACTCCTGGAATATGTGGGCAATTGGCTGGATGCAGTTCTTCCGAATTTCTCTAGACAGTACCTGCCGGTCTCTATCTCTTACTTTTGTGGATCTGCCAACACGGGGTGCATTTCAATAATCACCACTCACCTTCCACTTCTGAATCCCTTAGGCTACTGTTGATTTTAGGTAATTCAGCATGCTAGATATGCCCCTAAGATTCAGCTATTTTTGTAATACCTGACGATTACACCTTTTTCGAAATCAGATAGCTCTGCACTGTGTGGTATCTTGCATGCTGCAACTAATGCCAATGTTGTTTCCTACATGATATTTAACAGCGAAGGACGTGATGTATATCAGGATTGCAGATATCGGCATTTGCATTGGTGTCCAAATACTTATTGGTGGATTATCCATTATATGCACAACTTCCTAATATGATAACGTTTTAACCACCTTATTTATTTCTGAATGGCAATTACATTTCATAAGAGAAACAGAATAGAACAATAACATTTTTAACAATAACATTTAAAAAACAGCTCACTTAAAAAGTGGAGGAGAAAGTTATGTGTTGATAAAATTGAGATAAGAAGTAGGTAAAATGTTTTTTTGAGATAAACTAAAATTACCATAATTCAGTGGTGCCCAGCCTTTGGCCTCTCGCGAGAACATTTTGGCCTACTTGGAGGCCAAAATGCGCTTTCCAAAACATCAACATTTTTGTTAAACATATTTCCAATCTTATGTGATATATCTGAAATACTAATTTTGGTAAATGGGTTTGAGATGAATAATAATATTGGTTGAACTTTATGGAAATCAGAGAAGGGGAGTTCAAAATAATTTTTCAGTGCATTTAGGTTTTCTGAGTATTTCTCTGTTTCAATTGTGGTTATTAATATGGCTTGATAAATTTTGAAAATTGGTGAAATTTTTTTCTTTCAACTGATTTATTTACAAATTTAACTTTATCTGAAAAGCAGTTGCAGTCCAGTCAATTCAAAAAGGGTATTTTTCTTTTCCCTGGAGATCTTTGTTCAGTCTGTTCAGTTTAGCTGTTATATCTATGAGAAAATACAGATCGGATAACCAATTATTATCGTAAAATTCTTTATAACTTTCGTTTCCGGATTCCAAAAATCGTTTTATTGGCGAAAGAAGTTCTACAAATCGTTCAAAAAAGTTCTACAAAGTACTTTTCCCTTGCTGAGCCATCTAACATTGGAATGAAGCAATAAGATTCCATACTCGTTATCAAGTTCATCCGTCAGCAATCAATTACTTTATAACATCTTGCAAGATATCTCTTATGACTATAAATTACCATATTTTAACAATTAAGAAATATGAATGACTGGTTACTTTTAAAATATTTTTTGTTCATAGTACCTAATTGGGCTGGCGAGCACAAGGTTGGGCACTACTGCCATAATTCATTTGCTTTCTTTTGAAAAGTGGAAATTTTTCTTTTCTGTATACTATTTAAAGCATGAACTTTTTATGATGACAGCCCTAGTCTGTAGGTTTTAACTTTCCTGAATTTCGGGGAAAAAAATTCCGGTTTTCACTAACCTTTTTGGGAAAAAGTTCATATTCTTTCTGACTTGACGGATGATTAGTTATCTCTGGTTCTATTAACTATTTTCATAAATGTAGAGACAAACTATCTTAGTGTTGTAATGAATAATGGGGAAATCATAAATATGCTTTAAATTATCAATGATTTTTCTTATTCAGAGTTCAAGACATGGTTATGTAACCTGAAAATAAGGCAGCAGAAAAATATTTTACATCTATAGTTAAAAAAATGGTATTCTTATAACCTTAAATGTGTTAACTCCTCATTAATTCATGGTCTTTTTACTTAAAATGGCCAGTATTTTAATGTGATTACACCTATCCATCTTTATGGAACTTCCTTACAGCAGGTGTATCTATAATAAATTGATAATATTATACAACAAAGATAATACTACTAAATTTGGAGGATGACTAAGATTTTCTAAATGATTTTGGTACTTAGTATGTTCATTCTCAATTTTATTTCCTAATATTCTGTAACCCCATCCCAGGCCATACTCACTCAACTACAGAGAACAATTCATTAAAATAAAAACTGCTATTAAAACTATTGGGTACTACGCCTTCTTAGTGAAAATCCTCATGAAAAATTATAATCTTTTGACTTTTTTTAAAATTTTTATTCAATATGAATGTAATGAAATTTCAAAGCAACCGTTCAGATAACAAAATTCATGACATTACTAGTATTCAATTTGTAGGTAATCTGAGGCAGCTTTGTACATAGAAAGTGATAAATTATCCTAAAAAGCATTTTTAATGCAGATAAATCAAGTTTAAAGACTATAAAGAAAACTGATCTAAGAAACATTTTTACATTAGGCTCATTTTTTTCTAAAGTAAAATCATTCCCCCCTTATAATTTAAAAATTTTTCCTGATGCTATGTTTCTATCTAATGCCACAAAAGGATTTAGTAATAAATTATCAATCATTAGGAGATAATTAAGTAAAAATAAAAGGAATACATTAGATGTTTTAAAATTTTTAAGAATACATTGTTAAACATTTTAAAATGCTCATTTATCAATCAGAATAAATAATGTATTGCACCATTCTTAGAATGATCTAAAATGCATGGTTTCAGAGAAAATGAACAAGATAAATCCTTCTTTAAATTGATTTTGAAAAATATCGAATTCACATCAAAATGACCTAAAACTATGTATTTCAAATGATTTTACTCACATATTTGTATTCCAAATTTTAGGAACTACAGAAATATCAGGAAATACTATTGATGGAAGATGCAGTCGGTCAACAGCAAAATGCATCTCACACAGAGGTAAACGATTCAGTTGAAACTGAACCTGAAATTTATATATACCAATTACAAAATATAGTTCTGACATAAGCTTTTTACATATAAAACATCAAATAGATAAAGGTCCCAAAACAACGCATAAGCAATATTATTAACTGAAAAGATATTGAACTAATTACCGAAGTCCGACAGATGAAAAAATATTTCATATAAGCATTTACGACATTTAAAGAAATTTTTATTTAGAATACTAAGCATATAAAGAACTCATATCTATAATAGCCTTTCTTTGTTAATTATTGATGGCAATGAAGTGAAATTGTATACAAGAAAGAAAATTAAAAAGATTTATGCAATAGAGTTTCACAATTCACCATTGTTATATGTCCCTTTAATCTTAAGTTTTTCATTTGTTTTAAAACAAACCATAAAGATACATGCACATGGCTTGTTTTATTGCTATGAAATTTATTTATTTCCACAACTTTCAACTCTGCACATACCAGTTTGAATAGTACCTGAAGTATTTGTTAATGCATGGTCTATCCTCATATAATAATACACACACAAACGTATATATATAATTTTTAAGGTTAAAAAGTATTTTTTTGAATTTTCCCAATATTTAGTACACAGTGACATTATTCCACACGTTTTGTATGTGTATACATTCATTACACAGATTCAACCATCATTTATTACACGGATTCATATGAACTTGAAACTGTTGCATATAAATGTGTTAAAAAATATTGGACAATAAAAGGTATAAAAGATTCAATAACTTATTAGCTAACTGGAAAATTTAAAGAAACTGACACATTTCATTGAAGTTCATACCAGGTTGGGGACAGACTTAAATACTGTAAAACTGTCTGTACTTAAAAAAAAAATAAATAAATAAATAAAAATAAAAATAAAAATAAATAAAAAATAATAATAAAAAAAAATAACAAGTTCAATACTAACCAAAATGTCAAGAAGAACAAAGATTTACAGAATGTACAAATATGATGCATTTATATATAATCTAAATCAAGAAATAAACTTATTTTATAAATAAAAATTACCAATTGTACTTACTTCAACTAATATTTCCCTGTCAGGTTCCAATTTTAATTCCTCACAACATCTCTTTGATAATCTAATATATATTGCAGTCTTCCCCTTATCTTCAATCACTGCTTCATAAACCTGAAAAAAATTTAAAATTTTCAAGATCCTCTTTTTACATAATTATTAATTTATATAACTAGATTTTAAAAGCAATATTTGACATGAAAATAGTTCTGCGAAACAACTTAATTTCTGTTTGAACTAATGCTGAGTGTTCACCTCTTTTGTGAAGGGGGGCAGAAATTGAACTCCACACTCATTAAAAGATCAAAGCTACCTTTCAGGACAAGACATTTATTCCTACTCACAAACATATACTATGATACAGAGAAACTAGCAAGATTAAGCAGCACCCTCTTACGGCGGGCAATGGATGGTGTAACACACTGGGCTCCCATGACCTCGTCATCACCTCAACTAGAAATATAAACTGAAATATAATGCAACACATAAAAATTAAACAAACTGTAAATTAATTATAAAAAATGGAAGAAATAATTCAATCAGTCATTTATAGGAAGTCTAACCAGTTTATGTATTGGTCTTTTCGTTTCACCCGACGCAGTTTTTAAGTTGACTGACCTTACTCTTTGGTCAGTTCCCTTGTAAGTGAAAATTACTTTTGCCATCTTCCACTTAAGTGGAGGCAAGTTCTCATCCTTGATTAGCACCAAGTCATTCACATGTAAATCGGCACTGGGAAGTTTCCACTTGTTGCGCACTTGCACCTGAGTTAAGTAGTCTTTTGACCACGATTTCCAAAACGATTGGGAAATCTGTTTGACTAATTTCCACCGTTCACGGATGGGAATTTTCTCATTGGTTACATCAGGCTCAAGAACACTTTTTAACTCAGAACTGATAATAAAATGACCTGGTGTAATGACAGAAATATCATTTGGGTTCTCGGAAGCAGCCACTAAAGAAAGTTAAGTATGGCTTCAATCTCCACTAGACTTGTTGAAAATTCTTCTTGTGAGAGGATCTGCAATCCTATAACACGTCTCATGTGAAACTTCATGGATTTAACGGCAGCCTCCCATATGCCTCCAAAATGAGGGGCTGATGGAACATTCATTGTCCATTTAACGCCTTCGTTGGTCAAGTAAGTACCAAGTGCCTCCATCGTACATGCTTTTAAGTAATTCTTTGCACTGATAAAGTTCGTTCCACAATCACTGAATATTTCAGGGGGCTTTCCCCGTCGTCCTATGAATCGTTTCAGAACTGCAATACATACCTGAGTACTAAGATCACTAACAAGTTCTAAATGGATGGCTTTCGTTGCAAAGCATACAAACACACATATGTACATTTTCAGTAGTTTAACTCCTCTACCACGTCTAGGGCTGATCAAGAATGGTCCTGAAAAGTCAGTTCCGCATTTAAGAATGGTCTTCCGGGATTCACTCTCATAGAAGGTAAATCAGCAATCATTTGTTTCAAAAACTCAGAGCAAAATCTGACACAGATAACGCACTTTCTTATTTCTCTGCGTATTGCAACTTTTGCTCCTATAATCCATACTTTTTTCCTTTGCAGAGTTAACTAATTGTACTCCTCTGTGCATATAATTAAGGTAATAAAATGTCACTAACATTTTCGTAACAGGATGATTCTTAGGCAATATTATTTGATGTTTTACAATATTATTTGACTTGAGTCTGGTAAGCTGGCGTTTCTTAAACGTCCTCCTACACGTAGTATGCTGCTGTATGTCTAAGAACGGATTTAGAGAAATTAAAGAACTTTTCTTTAACACTCTTGCTTTCTCTAAAGTAGCTATTTCCTTTTTATACTCAGTTCTTTGGACTAGTTTGATTATAATATCATGTGCTTCTTTTAGTTCACTTATTTCTAAGAAAGGAGTCAAAATCCTATTCCCCCTCACATTTCTTATAAACCTTAAACACCAAGCAACAACCTCTGCAACTTACTCCAAACTGAAAATTTGTTCCGAAGCTGCTCAACTAATTCCAACTGAACGATAAAACATTTGGCAGAATTTTTTCTTTGCTCTCTTAGTATTTCCGTACTGTCTACATTGGATAACCCTCTAATCCACTGTTTAGGCCAACTCTCAAAACTTTTTCGAAGCCAAATTGGACCTGACCACCATTTTTCATCAAGTACCAACTTCTCAGCCGAGATTCCTCTAGTCAGCAAATCTGCGGGATTATCGTCAGACGGACAATAATACCAATCACTTGGACTCAATCTTTCCTGAATTTCCACAACCTGGTTGGCAACGAACTGTTTCCATCTCTTCGCACTTCCCTTCACCCAATGCAACGCAATACAAGAATCACTCCAAAACACTATTCTTCCAATTTTATCCTTTAAAACATTCTTAAGGTAATATCCCACATCTGACACCAAAAAAAAAATGTTCACCTCTTTTGTGAAGGGGGGGAAGAAATTGAACTCCACACTCATTAAAAAATCGACACTACCTTTCAGGACAAGACATTTACTCTTACTCACAAACATATACTATGATACAGAAAAACTAGCAAGATTAAACAGTGCCCTTTTACGGCGGGCAATGGATGACGTAACACTGAGAATCAGCACAAAATGTCAGTTCTCCTGTCAGAGCTCAAAAAGTACCAAATACATAACCGAAAAGTACCACATTTGATAATTAAAATTTTAGACATTAGTTCCTATACATCATAGCTGTCAACCATGAAATATGAAAAATTAGGAAGTTTACAAAAAATGCAGCAACGCAGTTCATAATTTTAAGCTACATTTATGGCTAATTAAATACGATAATAATAAAATGAAATTATGATGAGGTCTTTATAAAATGTTTTATAAATTTTCATGATAAAGTAAAACAGTTCAGATCAAATAAAAATTAGAAAATTATGTTAAAAATTCCTTGGAAAAACTTGAGTTCAATTTCACTTCTTTAGAAATTTGTCATTAATATCCTTTTGATAGAATGTCTTTTTCTTTGAAAATTTAGGGAGCAACTTTTCTTCTGGAACTACATTAAAAGGAGATGAATCTAAATTCAGATAAATTTAAAACAGAAAAACTTGAATATTTACTAGATCAGAAAATTTTACAAAAAATGGGGTTTTTTGGATTTACCAGGAAAGCTAGCAGCTTCAATATATAATATAACCAATCTGTATATATTAATACAGTGAAATCTCAGTTCACAAATAAGTGCCGATACATTAATTCAAGGAAATCTCAATTCACAAATATGGTCCTGAAGGCGTATTTCTGAACTGTTCATTAACTGAAATGTTTCTAAAGCAAAATAATTTTCCCCACCAGAATTAATATAAAATAAATTAAATTAGTTCTGGACCACATGACTGCTTATTTTAAACTTTACAAAAATACTTCGTGCACAAATTTGTAATTCCCAAACCAACGGAAATCATTAAATATAAAGCAAAAAAGATAATACAATATTAAACAGATAAAACAGAAACGATTTAATATCCAAAGAAGAATGGACACTGTAAGTGGAAAATTAGAAAGATGTTAGTGCTTGGCTGCAGAATTTCTTTCCATAAAAACATCAAGTTACTGTCTTTCAGAGCCATCTTTTCTTTGTCTTCTAAGTGCAACTCAACTCTACTTGGCGCTCAATGGGCCTTATTTCACTCAAAATTTGCACAATGCAGTTTTTTGTAACCAAAGTTTTAAAATCTTCTTAAAGTGAGACATAGCACTGTCGTTGAGAATGTTTATGCTATAGCTTTACTGCTTTATCAGGGTGGGTGAAATCTTCATACTGCATGTTATTTTGCACAAATTTTGCGATGAGATATATAGGATCATTTTTCTTTCTTCCGCTTCCCTTTTTTTCCAAAATCATCTTTTGATGCTGTTTCTGAAGTAGCAGTAGTATTTTCATGTTAAGCTATTTTACAATCCTTTAGTAACTTCTTTGCATCTCCAATGTAACTTTCTAGCTCATGCTTTTACCTAGAAATACAATATCAAAAATAACCACAAAAAAAAAAAAAGTCCCATGTATGAAAATGCTCAATCTCTCTGTCTGCAACCCTAACTAGACATAAATTTCTCTAGGCAGAATTCATGGCTCTGTAAGTCTCTTGCTACCGTATTTAGTTAATGACAGATAAGCAAAGAAAATGTTAAAATGTTTCCAAAAGTTCTTGAATTTTAATCATGTGGCAGAGGTTACTTCAAAACATCTTTGAAAATCATGTTGCCAACCTAAGCGTTCATAACTTGAGACACCATTCATCATCTGATGCACTTTTTTTTCATTATTTTAATTTATTCACAAGCCAAATTGTTAGTTATGTAAGACATTTATGATGTGAGATTTCACTGTAAGTTCCAAGTAAGGTAAAAAGTGTTTTAAAAAAGCACACATGCTCCATGAGAAGTAAATTATTTCATCAGCTATATAAAGAATACTAATGGTATGAAAATTAAGACCAATTAATTGGCGGTTTCGGTAATTCTTTAGTACCAATTTTTTAACTAAAAAAATTAACCATATGAATCATTTAGTTAAAGTTTTTTTTTTTTTTTTTTTTTTTTTTAATGAAAAGCTTAAAAAAATAATTTCTCAATTATTCCCCTTTTCTTTAGAGGAAGTAGCATAAGATATAATATATGATTAATACTGATATTACAAAACTAAGTAATGGAGCTTTTCACTTTGAGGATGCTCTTCATATTCTTTTTACAAAAATGACAATTCTTTGAAGAATATTTAATAAATTCCTTGATCAACAATCATTTCTAATTCTATAACTTATGAATCACATATCAAAAATTTTAACAAAGAAAAAAGTACAGAAAAAATTGAATCTATGACAAATTTGATCAATTTTACAACTGATAGAAACAAAAGCAGAATAATTTCTAATTTATAGATATTAGCATCTTATTTATAGCTTAAAATATTAAAAAAAAAAAAACAGTGCTTTTCTGTTAACTGGATGGCAAATGTGTTAGCCTGTTTACATTCTAGCATCACTGTGTATTAATGGAGGTAGGCTTCTTCCTTAATTCGTTTTGTGAATACATGGTAAGAATGAACATCAATCCAGTAATCTTCTCTCCCAGATTTTCAGTTGCTTTGTGTCAACGTGCAGAGCCATTTTTCACTGAATTTGTGGCCATTATTCTTCCCATATACACAACTATTTATTTTTGCTTAAAAAACATCTCAGAATTGCATAAGTCTGACATCGCTCACAGCCTTGGCATCATACACATTAAAACAAAGCATATATTATATTTATTATATATGTAAAGTAGTTATTCTTTTAATGAAGCTTTATGCATTGTTAGTGTTGCCACCATCCAGTCAGATTTTGTACCAATGTTTAGGTTTGGTGCCAGTGGCACCCTGTTAACAGAGAAGAACCGAAAAATCTCCTACGATGACATGGTAACACTATACACTTATAATACGATTTCATTTACTTACACCTAATTTTAAACCAAAAAGTCTGTTTTATCGGGGGGAGGGGGGGGATATAACAGAATTTTCTAGTGCACAAATTTTTTAAATCAAATACATTGATCATTTTAATTATTAATGCAAACAAACCTTTCGTTGCTCTTCTCCTTTAGTTTTTACTGAAGCTAACAATACAGTACTACAATTAGTTAACACAAGTCGTCCAGAGGCGGAATCTTCAGATAATACTGAAGATAATTGCATATTGGCAAATAATTCACCATCATGAGCATATTTGGCAGTAACTGCAGAATTAGGAGTAAGTAGATAACAGCTAGTTAAATTCAGATGAGCTTTCACATTATATCTATAATTAAAAACATTTAAGAATGTTAAATTTTCTCAGATGCAAACGATTTAAATAGCAGATTAAAAAATAACTTAGAAATCAACATTTAATAAATTAATAATTCAAACCTTAATAAACATAAACAGCAATTAAAATATGGCTTAGAAATCAACATTTAATAAATTAATAATTCAAACCTTAATAAATTGATAAAGAACTTAAAAATTAATAGATGAGGCAGTATTCAGCAAGTGCTTAAATCCTTCTAATCACATTTAAAATTAAAAACAAACTAGTGGGTTGCAAAGTACATTCATGTGCAAAATTTAAGAAAATTTAATAATTATGTCTATTTTTACAAAAATTATTGAATCAAAAGTACTAATTATGCCATTGAAGAATTACGCAAACATTCAGAGTCCAACATGTGAGCGTGCGTGCATGTCAAGCTGTGATTATGGAGGGATATAACACAAGAGGATTTTGATGATTTGTGTTCTCGTACTCCTTCACAACATTCATTCTCTCTGAAACTGGATAAATTTTATAAGGTGTCAGGTAAAATGAGTAGTTGGAAACATATGGATGATGGAATGAGATGGAGAATTTTCAGCAGAATAGAGGCAGGCCAATCGTAAGCGCAGGTGGCTACAGAGCTCAATGTAATGACAAGTGTTCTGCATTTTATGGAAACAGTTTCAGGACTCTGAATCCATACTGAGCAGGTCTGGACAATTGTTGACCAAGATTCACAGTGCTGTAGGCTACCACTGAAGCTCGAGTTTCATGGTCCGCAATTGCCAGAAGGCTTCATGAGATAAGACTATATGGAAAAGACCTACTGTTTGCATTTTCTCACTGCAGCACACAAGATAGCAAGCATATTTACCACAGTGCAGACAACATGCACCTTGGACCAGACTTATGTGGAGCACTGTGGTTTTTACATACGACTCAAAATTCAGCCTGGACACTGATTCTTGGCATACTTATATCTATAGAGAGCCTAGAACATAAGACCATACCCCTGCATAAAGAAAAAGATCATTACTATAGTGGAAGTCTAACAGTTTAGCAAGCATTAAATTGGATGATCATACATGCCTGCATGTGTTTGACAAAGGCTTCTTGACTGCTACGAGACACAGACAGGAGATCTTGCAGCCATATATTTGACTTTTCAGGGGCACATTTGGTTCTGGGTTTCTGGTAATGGATAACAAAGCTTGTCCACATAGGGCTCAGCTGGTTGACGATTACCTGGAAAATGAGAACATTCGACGCATGGATTGGCCAGCCAAATCTCTTGACTTTAAACCTATAGAGTATGGCTGGGACGATCATGGGAGAGCAGTTTCATCTCCCCACCATCTTCCAAAAAATACCAGAGTGAGATTTACTGCCACATGGACTCTAACTGCCTCCTGTCTACTATTTCACCCTACCACAACCTGTCTGGATGTCTGAGGGAACCATACCCCATATTACACTCATTTTCAGTTCGATATGATGTGAATTTTAGACATCTTTGCTCTATGAGCTTTGCTGATAATCATGTGTACCTAAAATGACTTTTAAATAGTACATCTCTTTCTCTGTTATAAATATATATTCAGACCAATCTATTAACCATATTCATTAAAATATGTCTATTGTTTATGTCTATTAGTTTTTTATCTATAGTAATATGTCTATTAGTTTTTTAGAAATTTGAAATAACATGCAAATTCTCTTAAATTTGCACAAATATATATTTGCCCCATTTTTCACTTAATGGGGAACAGTGTTTTATCGCATAGCTACCAACTTCAGACAAACAAATATAATTTTTCATTTTATACCTTGCACGTCAACAATATAGACAAAGCTTTATTGTGATCAGCGAGCTCTTGCAATTTCTGTGCAGTTTTAACACATGTCAGCAAATAAACATTTTTTATATACGTTTCTTTACTGCAGAAAAGAAAATGATGTACTGCAAATCAATGAAAAAAATTACACTATATATGCAGCTGAAGTCAGAGGATTTGGTAATCACGTAGTACATAGTGTATTCGGAAACTAAGTATCGTTTCATTCTAGTGCTGTCGCAGCGCTGTGGTAGGTGTCCCGCGCATGCGCACTAGTCTTTCTTGTTCACTGACTTTCAATTGTCGCCATTTTGGTTGCTCTATGTTGTGTTTTCAGTTTGTTGTGCACATTCAAAATGTTTAAGACAATTAATTCTCCCGCTGACTGTGAGATTCGTGCCTTGATTAAATTTTTGAACGCGAGGAATGTTAAACCGGCCGAAATTTATCATCAAGTGACAGAAGTTTATGGTGAATACGCGATAAGTGATGGAATGGTGAGAAGGGTGGGTAAGAATGTTTTAATGCAGGTCGAACAAATGTCCACGCCGAGGCTCGGAGTGGTCGGCCTTCTGTTGTCACCGATGATTTGGTAAGGAAAGTTGATGAAGCAATTCATGAGAACAGACGCTTCACAATGACAACTCTTTCAGAGGCATTTCCACAAATTTCACGTACTGTTTTGTTCGAAATTGTGTCTGACCGCTTGAATTATCGCAAACTGTGTCCCAATGGGTTCCAAAAATGCTCACTGATGTTCACAAAACAAAGCGACTTGGTAGTGCCCTGACATTTCTCACGCGGGGTAGGGTACAGTGATGAGGGAGAAAACTTTTTAAACCAAATTGTGACAGCTGATGATGAAACTTGGGTGTCATTTCACACCAGAATCGAAACAACAATCGATGGAGTGGAGACACACTCATTCTCCGAAAAAACAAAAGTTCAAAGTGACAATGTCATCACAAAAAAATCATGTGCACTGTCTTCCGGGATAGGAAAAGCATTTTGCTTACTGAATTTCCTCCCAGAGGTGAAACCATTAATGTGGCACGATATTGTGAGACACTAACAAAACTAAGGCATGCCATTCAAAACGAATGAAGAGGAATGCTCAGTAAAGGAATTGTGTTGCTCCATGACAATGCTCGGCCCCATACTGCTGGTGTCACTCAATCATTAATTCGACAGTTTCATTGGGAGCAGTTCGATCATCCGCCGTACAGCCCGGACTTGGCGCCGTCCGACTACCACTTGTTCCTGCACATGAAGTGCAAGCTTGGTGGCAAGCGCTTTGGATCTGACGATGACATGAAAAATGCTGTGGAGTTGTGGTTATCGAAACTGGTGGGAAGTTTCTTTAACGATGGTATACAAAAACTGGTCACCCGCTATGACAAGTGTTTGATCACTGGCGGAAACTATGTTGAAAAATAGTTTAAGACATGTAATTTCATGTAAAAATAAAATTGGATTCGAAAAAATTGTTTTACTTTTTTTTTTTTTTTTTTTTTTTTTCAAAACGGTACTTAGTTTCCGAATACGCCTCATATGTAATTTCTCTTTTTAGCTAGTAATTTATTTTGTAGATGGCAGGATTAAAATGGATTATTGTTTAAATCATTTCTTTTCCTTGCTATTTTATCACACTTTTGAATTTAAAATTAGCATTGCAGTGACACCATCTCAGAAATAAGTAAATAACTGAAAGTGATAGATCACATAATCATCCAGAATTCAATATGAAAAAAGTAGTTCCAGAAATTTACAGTGGGGGAATTCTGATGTTAATAATGCACCAGACAACTACAGATGTGAATACAATCGAAGATATGACTGGCAGTGAATCTCATTTGATGACATGACATTTTGGCAAGACAAATATCAGAACCATTATAATTTCAAAACTTCAGCAAAAACCTGAAGTGGTAAAACTTAGTAGTACTTTGGTACTAAAGCAACTGAATGATAAAAGTTTTGCAAACATTCATACTTAAGATTAGTTCTTTAAATGAAATAAAAACAAGTCTTTCTTCACATAACTCATCATTAGCTATTAAATGTGGAATGTTTTGTATAATGTTAACCAAATAAAATCATGCTTAAAGTGGAATGAGTCAGCAAGGTCATTACAAAAGATTTGGAACTACTCTGATATGCGCCCTCAAGTCGCCAAATATTTTTGGCGAGAAACTTCACCTTGCCATATTACTATCTAATTTTTTTGTCTACATTTTGAACTTTTAGCCTAAATTTTTCTCCAAAAACGCGGTTTTCGCACATGCAAAAACTACGTTTTGAACACACAATTTAGCTAAAAATCCGAAACAAAAACAAAAAATTTAGATAGCAAAAACGTAAAGTTTCTAACCAAAAATATTTGACAAGAATCTATGTACACAGCGAAATGTTTTAACTTGAAAAAACATCTACGAATTGCACAATATAGGCAATGAACGAATCTACAAACTACGCACACCTCGCTTTAATAAATTAACATAACAAAAATAAATTTCAAAGAATACCATGTACACAGCGTCCTGTTTAAACTTAAAAAAAATTCTACGAATTGCACAATTTAGGCAAGGAAGGAATCTACGATCTACGCACTCCTCACTTTAATAAAATAACATAATAAATTTCAAATAATACTATGTAAACAGCGTTCTGTTTCAACTTTAAAAAAACATCTACGAATTGTACAGTCTAGACACTAAACAACAAAATAAACTAAAATAAATTTCAAACAATTTAAAAAAACAACAACGAAAGAAATTCATACTAAAGAACATAACATTCTACAAAATAAGAACAAGGATAAAATAAAATGCACTTACCATGAATTAATACGTTTTTGAATACCAGAAATATAAATTTCATACCGCCTTTAACATGCCGCCACGATGTCACTATCGTATTTACATGACAGCCAGACACACTATCCAGAAAATTTATACTATGGTTCACAAATAAATAAAATCACAAATCCCTAGTTCTATCATGCACTGCCATTAAAAATAATCTCCCAGACCCTCTTTCCACACTTCCAAATACCCACTACCCCTCAATAGGATAGCCACAATCATATTTCCTTTTGCCGAACTTCAATTCAACAACTACTATTTTATCTTTCCCTCCCATCTTCTGAGACACAGAGGCGAACCAACGAGCTCCAGCAAAAGATTTTTCAACGTCAACAGGGTTGCCATAGAACACGCAATCGCGCCAAAACCAGCGCAGAACACATATCGCCACATTTGGTGAAATTAGGGCGTATATTAGAATTGTACCAAAGATTTATACACAAAAAAAACCATGCTATATATCTGATAGACTAGAAGGAAAATCATGTAATAGATATGAATTGCTGCAACCAAATTAAACTACTGGATTTCACTGCTCACAAATAGCCAAACTGGAAAAAAAAAAAAAAAAAAGATTTGGCTACAAAAAATATTACATTATACAATGCTACGATAACACAAGTACCAATTTCAATGGAGGCTTGATACAAATCACTGCAATATGGATGGATTTTTGTACAATTATCATAGTCTAGATCTTGCATTCACAGGTTATCATCTGTTTACACCTTCACAGACCTTTTTAATGCTATAAATTTACCAAATATGAACTCCATCAAAACCACTTGGATTTACTAATGAGTTTTCACAGTCTACAAAAGAGGAATATTTCAGCTATCAGAATGACGGAAAAATGAATCATGCATAATTGATTAAGTATACTTTTGTATTTATGAATCAATTATTTTAAAAACACTAAGATATGGAATGAATATATGATACAAGCAATAGAATAATAAGGAGGTGTGGTGGTGTATTTAATTATGGCAAAGCACACTAGGGCTATCTCTGCCTAAGAGGAGGGATGCCTTTCGTGGAGGACTTTCTAAGGGAAACTGGCTCGTATACACGTTACACATGGGGAAAACCACGAAAACACCCATGCAGCCAGCCCGTTTGCGGGATTCGAACCTCGGACCGAACTACCAGTGTTCAGCGACTTTACCGCTCGGCCGCTGGTGGGCGAATAATAAGGAGAAAACTGTATTAAATTTTTATGCATATTTTAGATCAACATACCGATTTTTTCTATTCAAAATAATTTTTCATACTTACATATTTTTCTGTCCGCCATAAAATTAGCGGAAGTCTCGCCAAATTTGTACCATTCTGGTGGCAGTTTAAATGAGCACATCATTGTTTGTTTAGTTAGGAACCAACAGAATAAGTTGCAGATATAGCATAAAAAAATTGAATAAATATAAGTTTAGATTTAAGCCAATCATTCCAGTGAAAGTTTGGACAAAACTAACTCAAATAGATAACGATAGATACAATTATTTAATCAGTGCTACATGGAACCCAGCCAAAGTTCTTATGATTGTGTTTCCATGTCATGCTTATTAATTAGAGGCACTAAATTTGCCTTGTTTGGTAATGGATTTTGCTTGTTAAAAATTATCATAGGAAAATATGTAAGTTCCTTATTTTGTTTCCTTATTTTGCAAAACAGTGGTATTTGAAGTTGATACATTAACCAATTAAAAACAAAAAATAAAGAAAGCAAAACTGTACCAAGAAAAGGAAAGGTTTAACCATATCATTATGGCTTCCATTATTTAAATGGTGCCATAAGCCTTCATGTTTGTAAACTGCACTAAAGCAGCAAACATGCTTGGAGCCAATGAGCAAATGGTGACCAAACAATTAGTAGTCCTAACCACAGTCCCTTATAGTCCATCTAACATGAGAACAACTCTGAGCAGAACGGCCATTCGGTCAAAGGCAAACTTCTCCGAGACATCGATCTCAAAAGAAATTACAAGTGGTCAGTTCCACAGCGATCTTTTCAAGGAGCTCCACAAATCTTTGAGTTCCTGACAGCCCCAGAAACATGGTCCTAAACTGTCATACTATTGCTGACTGAAACATGCATAAAATCTTTACCATGCCCTGCAGCTATCTAATATAATTACAGAACCTGCTTCCCTTAATGACTTCAAGAAAAATCGCTTAATTCTTTTTAATGGGACAAAAACCAGCCAGACGCCCTTTCAATGCCTTCATATACAGCCTGGTTCCATTTTACTATGATTATATTTCTACTTTCCAAACTTTCTTTAAAGACAATTACAGATTTCAAACCATCTGAGGCAATTATTGAACCTTACTTCATGTTTCTCTTGATAAATTTGAGAAGAGTTATCTTCCTTCTCTAAAGTTTTGGGAAAAAAAAAAAAAGTCACACCCCTTTCAGGTTCCATTCACTCTTATACTATGATTATATTTTTGTTTTCTAAACTGGCTTTCATCAAGTTCAACGATCATATTACTTTCATACACACACATTCTTGCAAAAATTCGACTCTCGGCAAAAATTTATCCTATCTATCACACATTTTTCTGAGACAGTAATCTCAAAAGAAATGAAATCATGGGTGGTCAGCTCTATGCAAATATCTTTTAATGAAGCTCCATAAACTTTTAATCAAGTTTGCAAAGAGCCTTTAAAGGCAGTTTCTTTAATGTCATTGTTGATAATAACTCAAAAAATTAAGAAATAATATACTACGCATTCAAATATATAAGATAAACCTTTTATATTGCTAATTTTCAATACCTTTACTAAAAGATAAATTCCTTCCCACAGATGCCTGTCCATATGACAGGAATAAAATCATTTTTGCAATTTTCCACATTTTTCAATAGGGAAAAATCATAATAAAATAAAAAAAATAAAGGGCTTCCGATTGAATCAAGAGAAAAAGATTTGGTATCACAAAAGTAGAAAAGGCATTTCCTTATTATTATGGCTCCAGTTATTAAATAGTACCATGAGCCTTCTTGTTAGGAAACTGCACTAAAGTAGTGACCACACTTGAAGCTCTAGGAAAACCATGGTCAAACAATACTAAACATAGTTATTTGAAGTCCACCCGATAAAGGGTTTCGAGTTGGGTGGTTGCTTTGTCGCACTTCATTAACATGAGAGCTCTTTACGCTGTTTAAATAATAGAGGCTGTAAAATAATAAAATACTACTGCAGAAAATTCCAATAACTTGGTTTTCACTGCTTTTTCCAAAATCTCTAATAAATATGAGAAAACTATCAGAATCTTCTTGCAAAATGTCTCTTGTAACGAGGGCCATCCAGGAAGTAGATTACGTTTCCGTCTGTGTCCGCTAGGGGTGGGGCTAGCGCGGCCATCTTGGGGTCAGAGCGTTGCGCAGCTCAGTCTGCATCTAGCCGTGCTAGTGAGAGGTTCGTGCTGTGCTCCGTTCAGATACTGTGACGGTTTGAAATGTCTGCGTTAATTGAAAATCCCGCGAGCTGCGAGGTGCGCTCAGTAATAAGGTTTCTGACTGCAAAAAACTGTAAACCAATAGAAATCTATCGGCAGCTTCGTGAAGTGTATGGGGACAACATTATCACTGAAGGTGGAGTGCGTCAGTGGGTCATAAGATTTCAAAATGGCCGAACCAATGTTCACGACGAAGATCGAAGTGGAAGACCCAGCATAGTGACCGCCGAACTTCTCGAAAAAGTCGATGCTAAAGTCCGTGAAAATCGAAATTTCACAATAACGGAACTTTCTTTGAGTTTTCCACAAATTTCGCGAAGTTTGTTGCACACGAAATCATCAGCGAAAAGCTTGGTTACCACAAGTTTTGTGCAAGATGGAAGGCAAGAAGAGGTAACGAAGTGGTTGAAGGCGCAGGCGGCCGAATTTTTCGACGAAGGAATTTCCAAGCTCGTACATCGCTACGATAAATGCCTTAATTTGTATGGTGACTATGTAGAAAAGTAGTATTTGAGTGTGGCTTTCATCTGTATATAATAAAATTTGTTTCCTATACTTTGTTTATTTTTTTATTCCAAAACGTAATCTACTTTCTGGATAGCCCTCGTATATTAACACCAGTAAAATATTTTTTATTTTGTCCTGGACTTTTCTACATTTTTAACATAACTTGCCTACTTAATGAGAGTGAAAATTAAAGATTTTTTCTAGCCAATTTAGAAAAAAGGGAAAAAGCTGAACATATATGTGAATGTTTTGAAAGAATTGCCTCCCCCCCCCAAAAAAAATATCATGAAAAAATAGATAAACAAAATTAAGTTTTACGTAATCTGGGCAGTGAATTTTTTTATTTTTTATTCTGAAAATGAAAAGCAAAAATATTTGAACTCTCTACATAAAATATACAATATCTGAACTCTCTACATAAATACAGGATCTCACCAGATTTAGAATATTTTAATTGGTTCAGCAGACTTTTTTTTTTTTTTTTTCCAAGAATATCCTCCCTTTTTTTCAAATGTTCTACTCGTATCTTTGGTCCTTAACAATGATAAATTTTCAGATAACAGTGAGTGGAAGTGCGAGTTTTATGAAGATCAAGCTTTGACATTTTTTATGGTCATCTTTTCATCACAGTAAGTTCAAGTATGACTGTAAAATTTGTGCCAAAGTTCAAGAAACTCTTTTTCACTGCAAATAAGATGGTACTTTGTTTATAACACCTATTTTAAAAAACTGTACAAAAAAGCAATCAAATTTTGAAATTTTCATTCTGGAGTGGCCGATTGTTTCTCATTATTTACATAATGAATTTATGATGACTTTGTTATATGCTGCATGGTTTAAATTCTATACTCATCCACAATGTTAATTCCCACACTGAATGGAAGTTAAAAAAAAAAAAAGTTAGAAATGTCAAATAAGAAAAATTAACGATAATCTGCACATTTTCATCGAAATTAAGGACACTTTAGGGCCAAACATCGTTACCAAAAACTTAAAATTCTTGAGGACTTTTAAGAACAGTACAAACCCTGTATTACAGTATTTTTTATTCATATAAAAATACAGGAAGAAAGAAAAAAATCATAGTTATGATCATAACAAAGCCATCAAAGGCTGGCAACGGGTGATACTTCCTAGCAAAATAGTTTTAGATTATGCCTAGAAAATAAATACGTTACATAATGAAAAAATAAATACATTAAATAATGAAATAAATAGAATAAAAATCCTACATAATTTTTCAATATAAAAAATCATATGTTAATTTCTATTACCTTGACAGCAATTCATACTGTGCCATTTCTTCTATACAGAGAAGTTCATGCTGTCTTGCAGTATAATTATTTTTTGTTAATACAGGTTCCAGTACTGACTGAGTTACAGTAAATTTTGCACTATTCGGAGCTGGATAGCATGAAAGGAGACATTCTTCTTGATCACCTAAGGAATATGGACGATTTTCAAATGGAACCACAGTGACATCACTACTGCTCCAACGCTCAATGAAGGATACAGCAGTATCTTTTGCCTGCTGAAGTTTTTCCATATTTGACAGAGATACTACATCTACACAGAGTTTCTGAACTAAAACTGGTTCAAATCCAAAATCAAATACAACAGCTTGTCGGAATGTGCCATAAATACAGGTAGCAAAGCGAACCTAAAGAAAACATTAATTCAATAATTTAAGACTACATGAAAAAACACAGGAATTTCCCTCCCATCAGTATTTTAAATAAAAAATGCCAAATATGCAAACAAAAAACATATAGTAAAATACTGTATATATATTTCATATTGTTTCTCAATTAGGATTTCTAAGAATCTTATTTTTTAAAGAAATTATCAATGATTCTGTTGTTAGAATACTGATGAATAGGTTAATCATATAATGCTTCTGCAGAGATTTATTACAATATGATTATTTTGATGATACAAAGGTTAAAAAATATTTTTTAATTAAAAAAAATTCAAAATCATTGATCCAACATAACTACAAAAATATTCATAAAATTAATTCTTTAAAAGATTAATATAAAACAAATACAATCAAATACCGAAAATCCGCTGACCTGAAATCCAACAACTCCTAAAATCCTTGTTACCTCTCAAAATATAAACATTCAATTTATAGGTTCCAGAAACCGCGACATTGAGTACGAAATATCGCTCTAATCTGCATCGAGGTAAAAAAGCAGACGATTCACTCGACTCTTCTTTCAACTTCACGATTCACAATGTTGTATTTTCTGAGCTTTGTTATTTCACGAGATTATTTAGTGCTGCCTTTTTTTTTTTTTAATCCAGATATTTTGTGGATAAATTAAGAATATTTTAAATTTCAGCTCTTTTTAATACAATTACAGATAAGAAACGCACTCATGCTTGCAACGTTGAAAAACATAAACACGTTGCATTGACGGTAATGCAAAAAGTGAAAATTCTGCAAAAGATGGAGGCAGGTGCTACTCCTCGGCTTACAGCAGAATCGTATGGAATTGCGACACGATTGTGTACAATATATGGAAAAATAAAGAAAAGCTGTTGAAATTTTACAGCAACAGTGATTCTAACACCGGAATCCGAAACCGGAAATCTTTGCACGAGGCGAAATTGGCAAACCTGGATGTTGTGTATATATAATACAACGAATAATATAATCAATTTATATATGTAATAATAATTTAATTTATATAATAAGTTATTGCAGCAATGCATATAATAATTTAATTAAATGTATCTAATATACCTTATTTATTTTGCACTTTTAGTCTAAATATCATGATTTATCTTCTCTGTTCTGAAATTCGCAAAATCCTAAAATCTGCACAACCTCTGATCCCAAGCTTTCCCGATTTCTGGACTTCTACTGTACTTATTTAATCGCCACAACCATTATTATAGATAAATTCAAGTAAAAAATTACACCTTCACACATGTGTAAAAATATGTCTTGCATGGAATTAATTACCAGACAGTCATGATGATTAAAACTAATAAATAACATTGCTTGCTTTCATTTCTCATGGAAATTCACTTTGTTCCCATATTTTTAACTAATGACTAAATGCAGAATAAACGCAACAAAGAAAACTGTTTTGATAGACCTAATTTCAAACAAAATTAGCCTATTCTTCCCTAATGATTGCAATTGTTAAGTTAAATCAATTTTATTGAATAATATTATATTTTATCATAATTACACTAAATTAAAAACATAATCTACAAAGTAATAAAAAATTTACTCATTTTAAGCCACTTTTAATTATACTGAAATAATTTTTTTAGGAAAATTATTTTTGGTACTGTAAACCCCACCAAAAATTAAAAAGTCATAAAAAGTATTTATGAGACAAAGCAGTATGCTGCCAAAATAGTTTTAGTCAACCCACAATGTCACTAAAAAGTATTTTGCATGACAATGCAGATATGTGCGTAGCACATCTGTTTTTCCTAGTGAGCAATACCCAAGTTGTAGGATACCAAGTTTGTGCAATTCTTATTCTTTAAGTGAAAACGGATTGCTGTGTACAAGAGAACAACAATGCATAAGAGAAGTCCCAGGTATGCACATAACGCATCTGTTTTGGCTGCAATACCAAAGTTGTACAATGTGGTGGAGTTTATGCAATTCACTGACATTTTCAGCAAAGAAAACTAATCACTGTATTCAAGGAGAGAAAACAATGATAAAAAAAAAAAAAAAAAAAGGATTTTTTTGGGAGGTAAAAAAGGTGTTTTATGACAAATATCCCTAATTTTTTTAATTTTAATGATTGATGGCTCTTGTATGGAATTCTTAGCATGCCGCCATTTTGCCACCAACTTTTGCCTTTAGCATATTAGCTTAATGAAAAATTAGTCGCCAAATAGTTCATAAATGCTCTCCAAAGTCAGAAAGACTTCCTCCTTTTTCATTTGAAATGTGAATAATCAGAAAGCACCCCTTTTTTCCTTTTGAGGTACTTACGTATTATTTTGAAGACTGTCACCAAGAAGCAAAATTTAGTGCTAATTATGGATAAGCAAGACGCTCATAACATGTGCCATTTTGTTTCATGCAACTCCAATTCATTCTCAATAAGCCACATTTTACTTTTATGAAGAAGGATATCAATTAGTTGACACAGCTGTATTTTTCCTCACATTTTGAAAAAATGGTTAAAATTTGTGACTTCCTTCTGACATAGCAGTAGATTATTTTTCAGTTATGAGATCCTACCACCAAAAAAAAAAAAAAAAAAAAAAAAGTGTATATTAGTACATACCATATGGTCAATTGCAAATGGCTGACAAAACAGTAGTAGAATGGAACAGTTACCTGCAGGAAGTTTTTACTCCATACTGATTGCTTATTAAATAAAAAAGCATCAATTATTTCAAAAATCCAACAACTGATGTAACTTTGACTTGCTCTCCACCAGCTTTTCATGATTTAATAGTGGCCAATATTCAGTCGACGGGATAATGCATAAGAACCCATTTTGATTATTACTTGCATAACAATCATCAGGCTGAGAAACATAATTACTGAAATGCTATTTTTTAACTTAAATATAGAAAAATAAAAGAATGGCTTATATTCTTTGCTTAAGATGATACACAAAGTCACACAATAAGTATTATTACTACTTTTAACTAGTAGATACTATTTCTTGAATAAATCAACCCATAATTTCCTCCTATTAGCAATAATTATTACGAAAGTAATAACAATAATAATGTAAAGTTAAATCTTTAATGAAAAATAAAAACTTACTTTACATGTATATTCCTCATCACTATAATCACTGTTGTCTACATTACTCCATTCCTGACACTGCGGACCAATATTAAAGTCCTTAATGCCGGAAGATCTTCCAGCTCTTAGTTCAGATATTCTAAAATGATTCCTATGGGTTTCATATAATAATGCAATATGTTGCAGTGTAGCCTACAGTAAAAAAAAAAAAATCATGCCTATTACATTTAAAACAATGTATACATTAAGTTATCTTAACTTGAAAATTTTAAAACCATTTTAATTTTTAAAATAAATTACATTTTCAAAGAAAAAACAATACAGTCAAAAGTCGTTAATTCGGACACCCATAATCCGGACTTCAAAGCTACAAACTTTCTGCGCATGGGTCGCGTTCACGCATGCGCACAGGCGTTTACGAGAGCACGTAAGACCCTTACGGCTGCAAATATATTTGTGCGCATGCGCGTTTAATGTGTAACGGAGTTATACGCTAAGCTAAAGTTATCTAATTCAGTTAATGTTGCAGATTGCGTTGTTCCTTAATCTTCGAATAGGATCTGGCTTATTATTTTTTGCAGACTGTTAGAGATATTTTATAAAAGTAAGCTTGAACTTTCGATTATGTCAAATAGAATTTCCGATATATATTTACTACAAAGCGAAAGTATGTTTTGAAATCCGAAATCTGTTTATCAATTTCACGCTGCTCTGCGGCAGAGGGGGGGGGGCAGAAACGTCATTATTAGATTATGATAGATTAGAAAGATTATGTCAAATAGAATTTCCGATATATATTTACTAAAATGTAATTTGTATCTACAAAGCGAAAGTATGTTTTGAAATCCGAAATCTGTTTATCAATTTCAAGTGGCGGATTGGAAGTTAATCTGTCAGCACTATCCTTATCTTCAAGCAAGATGTTTTTATTTTATTTGGTTTATAATTCCGTACTAAGTGTAGTATTTCATTTCGATGTACTCAGTCTTTGATATGATTGATATGATTTAAATCAAGTTCCTCGTCATTATAATTCGCTTCCGATAGTGAAGAAAGTGACCCAGAGGTTATTGAAAACGAAAACATTTCTATTGACAAATTAGTCGGTATTCTCAACACAGCAATTATAGGACTTGAACAGCAGAACTTTGTAACTAAACAAGAAATTATGTCTGTTTAATAGTCTCGAGGAGTCCGGATTAACGACTTTTGACTGTAATTTTAACAAGGTCAAGAGTAGAGAAACAGTATTTATAGAAAAGTATAGAGTATTAAAAGAAGCAGAAGAACTGAAAAAATACTAACGCTTAAAATATAGTTCTTTTTCTACTTTTCTTTAACTTTTGAAGGAATAGAATGATACAAGTTACACCAAGAATATGCCTCAAAATACTATGACAAATTCGAGAGTATCTAAAAATACACTAGTTTACAGTTAAAATATTTCTTATTTTTCATTCAACAAACTTACTTTGTAATCAGCTTTTGATAATTTACTAAACTAATTTAAAATCACATTGTTAGGCACACAGTTGTTAGTCAGCACAAACAATTATTCTGTAATGACATATATAATATATGACATCAGCAAAAGCACATATACTGCTTTAAATTTCTTAATATGTTAAGCATCATATAATTTTAATTAGAAGATGAAAATCTTGCATGACATCAAATAATGACATGTCTCTTAGCACTGGCAATGTGCCAGACCATGAGTATGATAAAGCCCTTACGCTGCAATAAAATGACAACATTGTTCAGGTTGCATGGATAAACTTGTGTTGATAGATTGTTACGAGAAACAAAAAATGAAAAAACTAAATTACAAACATTGTTAGTATAAACAGAAATATTTCTACTAGTCAATATTAGCATTTCTTCCAAATATTCACACTTAATAACCAGTATTATTGACACAACAAAATATAAAAACTCAGTTTTTAATATTTATTGAATCTTTTCTTTTTTGTAGTCTAAATGGGTGCCAGCCCAGAAAAGCTATTAATCTCAAAACGGCATTCTGCGTCAAATAACTATAAATGGCTGTACCATTTTTCAAATTGTTGCCATTAAATATTATCACCCCGTATTATATTAAAAAAAACTAAATAATGAAAAATCTACATGAATGTATTTATGTTTCTTGCACTGTGAAAAGAAAACTGTACCTGGTCATCAAATTCTGAATAGCGTAGTCCTCCATCCAATCATGGGCACCTGGACGCTTGAATTTGGAATTTGTTTTATTGTGTATTTCACATGTTGTAGATCTTTAATGAATTTTATGTTAAAAAACTCAATTATTTCAAAGCAAGCAGTGGCAACACTGTATACTGTTTTTAAATATTTTTAATCCAATATGGCGCTAGGCCAAATGCCCTCGAAGTGTGTATGTGTCTATAAATGAAGAAAGCACCTGTTTGGAAGTAATATAAAATCTGAAAGATTTCAGTTTTTTTAAACCAAATTATGGCTGAATATATTTTACAAAGATTACTCTATTTTTAGCACTGATTTACAATTATTTCTGACTATAATCAAGGAAGAGTATCCATAATAATCAAAGTTCTAATGTGTGTGCATCTTTTACATTTACTACTACACACTACTTCTGTTTGTGGAATATAAGAGTGCTTACTATATGAGCATATAATTTTTCAGTTGACCTCTGCTGTTTAACATACATATGAGCACATAAATGTATCACTTAAAGTATACTGCAAAGCGGCTTAACTCTGAAGTTAAATCATTAAGACAACTGAGTCTGGCTATTCTTTATTGCTGAATTTCAAAATTTTTCCACTTTGCATTCATGAGATTTTCAATTCTTTTCTTTCAATAAAAGTAACAAACACAGAGTGGTTTCTTTTAATATATAATTTATTTTTTTTTTTTTGTTTTTGATTCTGCAGCCAACTGACAACCTTTGTGCATAAAAGTTAGAATTCTGTGCAGCATTTTTTAAACCCCGCCACCCCAAAAAAATCACAGTATATGCCTTTTCTCAAAGCGAAATATTATCTTAATCAACATTGAATTGAACTAGAATTTGGAAATTCAAAATGAGTCGTTAACTGAACTTGAGACTTTTTAACCGTTTGGAAAATTAAGTTATAAGATGTGTAGGGTTGAAAGACAAGTTGCTTCAAAACATGAATGCTTGGTTTACAGGATGGCAAATTCTTGAGGTTTAGCATAGAAGAATACCAAGATCCTTTACCACGCATTTTCATAGTGCGTTCAAATTATTTACAAGCCATGGTCAGCAAATCAAGAAAGAATCTAACTGTAAATTTTAATTAAAATTTGAGTCATTTTTAATTACTATAAGCTATATTTGAAATGTTATTATCTGTTACTCCTTGAAATTGCAGGCGAGTTTCCATTTAATGAAAATTTTTATTTAATTTTTTAAAAAATTATGGTACTCTATTATTATTATCTGCTGCTGAAAATGAAAAAGCTACAAATGAGTAGTTATGATGCAATACACCATGTTGGCAGAAAGTGGGTATTTATGTGGCAACTTAAGTAGGCACATAATCATATACACAGACAGCATTCCATGTTTTTGACATTTTTGCAAGTGTGACTGCACAGATTCTTCCTATGGGAATTTCAGCATTTTAGCATTGCGATGGACTATTATATTGGGTTTGGGAAAACATTTGTGGTGTTTTTGGAGTAAAATTCAACTAGTTTTCTTATAGTGTAAAATAAAAAACCTTATAGTGTGAAATAGAAACTTATAGTGTGAAATATTGAAACCAAACATGCTCCATTATTATTGACAATGTTTCGCCATCTTTCGAGTAAAGCCATGATGCCATGTGTGAAAAACTTATGTGGTTTCTGGTTGAAGAACAGAGTCAAACTGTTTTCACGTGACTCTTTGGAAACCAGCCTAATTCAACTGAAAGAGTTCAACAGCGATCGGAATAAGTGATGGTCTGATGGTGCTATGTCTGAATTATATGGTGGGCATATCATAACTTCCCAACTAAGCTTGCACAATTTTTGACGGGTCATCAAAGAAGTGTGTAGTCGGGCATTGTCATGATGGAAGACAACACCTTTCCTACTGTTCAATTCGGGCCAGCTTCTTTCAACTGTCTGGCATAGTCTCTCTAGTTGTTCACAGTAGAGTTGAAAATTAATTATCTGACCAATTGGAACCAGCTTAGGTGGACAATTCCCTTCTAGTCATACCACACACTTTGTTCGGCATCGCAACAGCTTCTGACGGCTCCTCATCCTTTATCTATAATCGTTTATGCGAGCGATTCTCATATGTAATCCATTTTTTATCGCCGGTTATGACACATATGAGAAATGGCTCAAATTCATTGTATTTCAGTAGTGCATCACAGAAGTTAATTCAGTCTAGCATGCTTTTTGTGCTCAACTCATGCGAAACCTAGGCATCAAACTTGCAGAATTGTGTAAATGGTGTTCAAAACAGTTTTGTGGTCAATGCCCAGCTCCATACCGATGTTGACACTGCTGATGTGCTTATCTTTGCTGGAAGATTTTGCAAGAATTTTATCAGCTTTTTCAGTGACTGGACGACCAGGGTGTGAATAATCTTTTACATCAAAATTAGCAGAATGAAAGCTAGCAAACCATTTCTGTGCACAAGATTTTGATAATATACCTTCACCATACACAGAACAAATTTTTTTCACAAACCTGCACAGCGTTCTCCTTTGTCATGCTATATTGCAAAATATAGCACATTTTTTCCTTACTTTTCTCCATTGTCAAATGCACACAACTTTCTACCAACTCCACCATGTACATTGTTTATATGCTCACAGTAACACTTGAAGAATTACCTCTCCAAAGAGGGTTTAGTGGTGTCACTGCAATTTGTGTTTCCTGAGTTATTTGCCACTGATGCCGTCTATTATGAAAAACGCCATGACCTTTTCCCCAGACCCAATACTTCATTTTTCATCATCTTTGGTGAAATCTCGGGCTTTTTTCATATGCATACAGCATAATGCAGTTCAATTCAAGACCTCGTGGTCTTTTTTTCTTCTTCCGATTTTTTGATTTGAGTGCCAAAGTGAAGTACAATGCCAAGTTTAGGCAATTCTCTTACTTTTTTAGCAACTATAGCTTGCTATGTACATAGGAATAACAAAAGGGAAAAAATACGAAGTGTGCATGTCTTATATGGAAAAAGAAGAATGTAAAATAAATAAATAAGCAGCCCTAGATGCATTTTTGAATCAAACATAAAAATACTAAAATAAGCATTTCTCTCCAAAATCGGCAACGACTATCTTTAATGGAGCCGAAGACAATCAGAAAGTGGCAAAACTATTTTTGGCCTTAGAGTTCTTTTTTGTTGTTTTTATTTTAAATAAATTTCTTACAAAATTCTATTATATAAAATAAGTATAAAATTACATTTAACTACTTTTACATTTAACTACTATGTGCATATTACATAAATTATGTATTGTAGATATGAATGAATTACATGCATGAATCAGTAACAATCTATTTCTCAACAAAGCTAAAATATGCCAATTCTTGTTTCTCACTAAGACCGCTAAAACTAACAAATACAGTAATATGCTATACATTTTGATAAACTGAAAATAGTCAGTTGCAATAATTATTACCTTAGCACGTATGTGAAATGTCCACTCCCTACAAATATTTTTCTCGGTAAGAGTTAAGCTGACTTCCGGTTCAACTCTAATATCAACCGTATCCAGCGACTCGGTCATGATCATATTGGGATTCGAAGAAGTTAACCACTTCTCAAGTAACTGCTCTGTATAGTTGCGACCCTGAAGTCGACATTCTTTCGCCCTCTGTAACTTCATCTGCCGATAATCAAATCTCTCCCTCCACTCGGTAAGTTCTTCTCCACCATGAGCATCACAACACTGTTGACCAAATCGACACTTTCCGGTTGCAGAATAACTAAAATTGGAACAAAACTTTTATTAAGAACCGAAACAGCAGAGAAATCAATATACTCTAGTTACGCAATATACTAAAATACAAGAATAACAACCAAAAATTTAAAAACATTTTTAATTTTAATACACTTATTTAAAGAAACTTGCTGAAAATTTAACAGAATATTTTTCCACAACTTTCCAGATTATTAGTCTATTTTTTTCCCAAAATATAATTTAGGTTTATACAGCACTTAAAAAATATCTAAAGGAAATCACGTCTCTGCAAATACTATACTTTCAAGACAAACTTTAACAGCATTCTAAAAACTGCATTACTTTGCTGACAACTTTTAATTTTGTATCATTTAGCTATTCAAAATTTTATTATGGCATTTAACTTCCATTTGTTTTTTTTAATTGATAAAATTCAGATAAAAGTAAACAGCAACTAGAAATTTAATAAAAAAAATTATATCATTACATGTTTAAAACTCTTCCTTTAAATAAAATTATGATACAAAAGAAATATTTGTACTAAACACAACTACTGCAAGGATCAGATTCAGAAATGCATGTGAACATATGTGTGTGCATACACACACACACACATATACCATATGCATGAACACATACATGCATATATACATACATATCTGAATCTGGTCCTGATGACAGAAGAGTACCCTTCAAGAGAGTAGCAGAGAGTATTCAAGTAAATACTTTAATTATTCTAACTAACCAATACCTCAAAGCAAGTTGAAAATGACATCAAAAATTGCAAATTTTGCAATTGCAAAAATAAAGGCTGAGTAAGGATTTTTAAGCTGGGAAAGAGGAATGGATATATATGTATGCATGTATGTATATATATATATGTATATACAGTCAAAAGTCTTTAATCCGGACTCGTCGGGACTTCGGCGATTCCGGATTATCGATTTTTCCGGATTATAGATCATCAGTTTAAATCTGGTAAGATGGCATGCAGAAATTATAAAACTAAAAATATGAAACCGTAATTTATAAAATAATGAGCAATTATGATCTAAAGGGTATCCAAATTTACCAAAAAAGAAGCCTAATATTTATTTGTTTACTTTATTAAACATTTCTTTTAACGCGCGCGATGAGTAAAGCATACCTTACTCATAGCCGAAATTAGAAAATTGCAACCAGAAAACTATGTGATTTGTATTCGTGATATTTATAATGACGAGGAATTTGATTTAAATCATATCAAAGACGGAGTACATCGAAATTAAATACTACATTTAGTAAGGAATTATAAGCCGACTAAAATAAAAACATCTGCCCTGAAGATAACGATAGTGTTGACAGATCAACTTCCAGTTCATTGCTGTGTGACGTGCCCCCCCCCCCGCTCAGAGCAGCGTGAAATTGATAAACAGATTTCGGAATGGTTAGATAAACAAAGGATATGCTTTTATTCATTTTTTGTAGCAATTTGTTTTTTGTTTGATGGACATCGAAACATACTTTTGTTTTCTAGATCCTTTGGGAGCTCCAGCATCGGAAATTCTATTTGACATAATCGAAAGTTCAAGCTTACTTTTAGAAAATTGCTCTTACAGTCTGCAAAAAATAATAAGCCGGATCCAATTTGAAGATTAAGGAACAACGCAATTATCAACATTAACTGAAATAGATAATTAGATAATTTTAGCTTATACCGTCCGTCATACATTAAACGCGCACGCGAAAACGTATTCTGCACTTGCACAGATGCATATGCGCAGTCGTAAATGTCTTGCGCACACGAGTAAAACGCCTATGCGCATGCGTCAATGCGGCGCATGCGCAGAAAGATTTTAGCTTTGAGGTCCGGATTATAGATCATTCCGGATTACGGGTGTCCGAATTAACGACTTTTGACTGTATACATATACAAGGTCTGGCTAATAATTTCCAGGACTGATGTAATTGTAAGAGAACAAAAAGTAAGAAGATGGTGCTAATGATTGCATATTGAAGAGCGTTTTCTTGTGCATGTGCAGTGCAATTGGCGCCATTCCGAAGTAAATGGTTCTTGTGGAAAGGTGTTAAAACATAGCTCTTAAATTCCTATTATCAAAGTGAAAATGGAACAAAGAATTAACATTAAATTTTACTTCAAATTGGGCAAGACAGCTGTGGAAACCTATGAAATGTGAAAACAAGTTTATGGCGAGGAAACATTATCCCGCTCAAGAACTTTTGAATGGTTTAAACGCTTTCGGGACGGGTTCGAAAGCGTCGAAGATGATCCACATACAGGTCGGCCGCAGTCCGTACGCATGCTGGAAGCAATTGAAAAAGTTAGTCATATGGTGAAATGTGATCGTCGATTGACTATTCGAGTAGTCGCCAATGAATTCAACATGGGCAAAGAGACGGTTCGGCGAATTTTGACGCAAGACCTAGGCAAAAGCAAGATTTGTTCCAGATTCGTTGCTCAACATTTAATAGACGAAGAAAAGCAATTGAGGCTAGATACTTGTGGTGAAATTATCGACAACGCTGATGCTGACCCTGCGTTCCTGGATAGGACAGTCACGGGAGATAAGTCTTGGTGTTATCAATATGACCCTGAAACCAAGCGTCAAAGCTCCGAATGGCGGTCTCGAAGTTCACCAAGGCAGAAAAAATTTCGATTTGAAAAGTCCAAAATCACGGTCATGTTAATTGCTTTCTTCGATTGCTATGGACTCATTCATCATTAATTTCTTCCTTCTAACATGACTATCAATGAAGAATTCTACACAGAAGTTCTTGACCGACTTTGAAAACGAATTCGTAGAGTGAGGCATCATTTTCAACAAAATGGGAGCTGGCTGCTGCTACATGACAATGTCCACCCCCACATTGTGTTGCCTGTGAGGCGATTCTTAGCCCAATATGGTGTCGTTGAAATGCAGCATCCAACATACTCTCCAGACCTAGCAACTGCAGATTTTTCCTGTTTCCTAAGCTGAAAAATTTGCTGAAGGGAACGAGATCTCAGGATGTCGAAGCCATCAAGAAAACTGTAACGTCACTATTAAAGAGCATTCCAGGAGGAATTTAAAACTTCTTTCTGAAATTTGTTCATCCGAGCACAGACGTGCATTACGACTGATGGGGATTACTTTGAATCATATTAAATGGCTATGTGTTTAATCTTTTTTTCTTCTGAGTTATTCCACGAGTCCTGGAAATTATTAGCCGGACCTTGTATATATATGTATGCATGAAATGTTGTATGATCTTAAAATTCACTTAGTTCGAAAACAAGTTATTCTAATACTTGCACAATAGCTGCAAAGTAAGATAATAATAATTTATTTACTAAAGAAATACTGATTATATTATCTCCTAATTTTTAATTTTGGTAGAAGTATCTAAGAAGAGCGACCCAGAGGTAGGAAGTTTAAATTTTGTTCATTTGTCGAAAATTGTTTTAAAGTAACTTGAATGTAAATTGTTAAAAATGTTTTACAGGGACTTGAATTAAATTATGAATAACAAAATTTCAAACTTTGAAAAATAAATTAAATTAAAAGCAAGTAATTATTGCTATTGATCAGGAATTAATTGACTTTTCAAGGGGAACAAACCAACTCCCGTTCAGTGAACAATGATTAATAAATACGAAGGTGTTTTGTCTTTTACTCAAGTAATAATGGTGATACCAAACTGGCAAATCAAGTTAGGCCAAATAGCCCCATGAAGTAAAGGTACCCAGAATTAAAGAACTCATTCTGAATTCAGCATTTTCGCTAATACAAATTTTGAGTGAAAAGCAATTTATGTAGTAAAATTTTGAGTGAAAAGCAATTTATGTAGTAAAATTTTGAGTGAAAAGCAATTTATGTAATAAAATTGATAAAATACTTGAGTAATTGTACCCTTTTATAAATTTCTTCTAAAGGAAGTGAGGTATACAAGTTTTCATAGCAGTTAATGTTTTGTATGGTGTATCAAATGAAAATGGAACAGTAGCCACAAAATGAAAAGTTATTATTTATTTTCAAATGCAATAATCAAAATTACAAAAGCACTTGTTCCACTGTTGTATCAAGCAGTGAATATACACTGTTCGGAGAAAGAATTTGGCTGACACTGAAAGCAGTTTCGAACTGTGTCCATGACTTTGCAATCCAAGCGTGGATCAAATCAAAACAGAACAGTGGTCATAATTTGATGTTTTTACATGTCAGTCACAAAAACTGTGTGTCAAGGAAATGCAGGGGATACGAAAGACAGCCCCTATTGTGGAATGGACTTGCCCTAGGTAATCGTGCAGAACCACATGATGTGAGCTGGTGGTCAGCCAACAGTATCATCTGACAAGTAATCATTTGTCATTTCATCCACATCCGCATAATGTTTGCAACTCAAGAAAAGTAATATGATGTTATTTGTTTTTTAGTAGAAGAAAGTGTTGGAGTTCCTGAAATGCATCAACAGATTGAAACAGTGTACAAAGAATACTCATTGTCATTGTTCCGTGTACAGGACTGGCACAAGCATTTCTGCAAGGGATGGGAATCTTTGAAAGATGATCCATGACCTGATTAAAGTCACCTTCATAGTTGCTTTGCTGGATGAAGTTGTCTAGATCATCAGTCAGTGCAAAAAGACAACGCACAATAATGGCATTAGCAAGGAGGTGGGTGTTGAGTTTCGGTTCTTTTCTTGCCATCATTAATGAGAAACTGCATTACAGAAAATTGAATGCATAGTGCATGACATACAGTCTCATAATCAGAGATGGCTTCGCATGGGAGTGTCCTTGCAGCATTTTCTACGATATAATGCTGGGGATAATTTCTTGGACAGAGTTGTGGCAGCTCATGAATCCTGGGGCCATCACTACCAACTAGAAAGTAAACAACAAAGGCAACAATGGAAACATTCCCAGGTCCCTACTGCCAAAGAAGTCTAGGATGATACAGAGTAAGGGCAAAATCATGCTGACATTTCTTTCGATATGAAAAAAGGCCCACTTCTTATTTAAGTTCCCAGCCCCAGGTGAAACAATCAATGCTGCTCACTACTGCAATACCCTGGAATGTCTGCATACAAAACAACACGACACACGAATCAACAATTTTATTATCTAGCATTATTTCAAAGCGATTTCTTTCCTAAAATTTCTTCCCCCACAGGCAGATTATAAACTATTTTAAACTTTCCTTTATTCCATGGCAAGTTTGTCAATTCTTTATGATCCAGTCATTTCTGGCTGTCTCAGTTTTATTGGTATATACCTTACATTACCACATGATTAAAATTACTTATTAACTAATGATAAACAGTTTTAAATTTAAATATACTTAGTCAAATATTAAAAATACTCAAAATATACAAATACAATACTCAAATTATACAAATGCAATACTCAAATAATACAAATATAATATTCAAAATATTAACAATTTATTACATAAGCTTTGCTTCATTAGACATATACCTACATAGCTTACATCAGAATCCCATTCATTTCAATTCAGATGTGAAAAAAAAAAAAAAAAAAAAAAAGAAAATTAAACTAGAATTTTTAAATTTAAAATTGTTTTAAAAAGGCAATGCTTAATTATATTATAATAAAATTCATATTTAAAAGATATACTACAAAATATAAAAAATGCATTTTTCAAAATTCTGTTGAAATTTATTTAAAAACAATAAAAAAGATGCATTTTAACCCTTTCAAGATAGTGTGCCTTTGTTTAAGATGTTCCCTTGGGACAGATGAAAGTTGAAAGAAATCATGCTGCAGGCCAGGGGTTTTACATCTGCTAAGACTAAGTTTAGAAAAAAAAAAATCGCAAAAAAAGTTTATGACCTAGCATCATAATTTTTGGTACTATTTTAGAGTATTACTTAAGCTATCATATGCGTTTAAATTAGCATTTTATAATCCTTCCTTTACTTTACATGAAAATATAGAAAGAAAATTGCTTACTTTGAGAAATAAATTTTAGAAGTACTATTAAAATTATTCCGTCATGTGAACCAGATGGCAGACACTCGGAGAGTCTCCTTACAAAATTTCCACATGAGAATCACTAGAAATATCTCTCTCTAACTCTTTACAATATGAATCAACACTCTCTGTCATGTCACTAATTGGCTCATTTACAATACGAGTTTGATAAATAATGCTTGCTTGTCATAATAAACTGAAGGTCAAGGCTTTCCGAAATAAAATAGAGGAACGTGAAATATAAGCGGTAAAAGCAATGCAAAGTGAAATAGTACTACCCCCACACAGTAATCCTAAAAGACCCTACATAGTAGCAAAGGAAAGAACAGAAAAAGAAGTTTTTAAGGTATGTCAGAAACACAAATGTTTATATCATGTGGTGAGTTAAAGACCAGCTCTGTTTGTTTACATTTTACCCCGCAACAGCTGACACCAACGTTACACAGAATGTGACAAATTGAAAATCCGCATCCTAAAACTATATTCAGTTCAAAAGTAATGGACACAGGACATGATCTAGTGGTATTTAAAAACATTCCAGGGCACTGGAACAAATGTGTGGCGATTAGGGATGAACGAGAAATGCTTCTGGCGCACCAGCATGCTGGCTAGAAAATGAAAGAATTTCTTGCTTACACATATGCCTGACAGTCGCCATGAAAATGCTAAAATATCAAAAACTTAAAACTGCATTTTGCAAAAATTTAGGCTTTATAACAATAAAATGACTAAGTATTTACATTTTAGAAAACAAAAGGTTGATCTTTACATTATGGTAACTTGGCGTTTTTTTGGCGAAAATTTGGCGACCAACTCTCCTACAGCAACCCTCTATTTTTTTTTCCCGCCGCCATTTTGTCTTCACGAAGTAAAGACATGTTTCTTTTCTTTTTATCTACTGAACACTTCTTCCAACAATCTACTAGCCGAATTACACTTATGCTAGAAATTTTATCTAACAAAACTGCTTAATCATGACAAATATTCACTGCAAAATTGGGAAAAAGTGCACAATACCATACTCCTTACGCGTTTTTCAAAATAACACATACACATAAACCATGTACACACCGACTTATTTTTACTTAAAAAAACATCCCAGAATTGCACAAAAATGGCATTGCGCACACTCTTCACTACTATATCCATGTACACTGCTTTTTTTCTCATAAATTAGAAAAATTTCACGAAAATACATGACAATTTTCTCAATCTTTAAACCCGGTAAAAAGAACATATATGAAATTACCTGATCGCGAAAAAGTATTTACCCTTTCCAAATATGAACATTTCCACATATAAAATAAATAAAATATCCAAAAACTTTTACCTCTAAATCATCTATTACATTATACACGTCACCAACGAATTCATACTGCAAGCATTACAAATACTTAGTATCAAATATTTAAATTATTTCCATGCATGTTTACTTCAACTTAAACGTGTACCAAATTCCTACAAACATAAAATTCACAAAATAACTATCATTTAATTAAAATATAATTAATTCAAAAACACTACTTAAAATATAATGAGCACATACATTAAATTAATACATACATAAATACCCATTTCGAATTCACTTTAGTTACGGCCATGGGATCCAAAAATTCACGAACTGTTTCACATAACACAGAATAAAGCCAAATACAAATTTCTAGATTTTTCCCAATTTCCTCCCTTTTCCGATTAAAGAACCGTAATTCGTCCATTAATATCACATGACATATCCCATGATCTCTCATTTCCCTCACACAAAATAATGCGTAATCGGAACTGAGTACTGCTCACATTATTACCAAAGTGCCAGGTAGTAACCTTTATCGCCTCCAAAATGTCGCCAAACTACCAGTTACCATATTGTAAAGATCAACCAAACAAAATACAAATTCCTCAAAAAGTAATAAATTAGAAGACACTGATGAAGCAAGCAGTAATATTTCATAACACAATAAACTTTCAAAAACAAAATCAGAGATCAAAGATATTTTTGCTAAACATTAATATTACACTTAATAGTGAAAAGCAGATACAGCACATCAATGCCATAAAATAGCTACAAGACGATACTTCTGATGTTTAGATATTCATAAACAGAAATCTTAAATTTTTGGTTAACTAGTATAAAATATCTGAAGACTATTTCCCTAAAGGATATCTAAGAATATTCCTTGGAGGGGATAATTAATATTTATATTATATGCCATTAAATTAGCCTGTTTAGTTACTATGGACTACATCTAAGGATAGTCTAAATTTTTGAACTTTTGGCTACGAGATCCCAAACAAAAAGTACATTAAAAATTTAGTAAATTGCATATAATCAACTGATCATTTGATGGTTTAAACTCTGGTTATGAAACATTTGTGCATGAATTTGACGACACATAAACTGATAAGACACATTAAGATGTTACCAAATGGAGTTCAAAATTATTATTTTAACAAATAAATTTCAAGACTATTATTAGCCTGACAAATTAATTAATAATTTAATAAATCTGCTCATTTTAAATATAAACATATTTAAGTAAGGTATAGTCTCTCTCTCTCGTACAGAATGCTTTATTATTAAAAACAATACGTTTCTTTATAAAAAATTCAAGGTAAAATTATGATAAAGATTCTTTTAAAAAGTACTTACGATACACAAAGTGCATACTGATCAGCTCCAACACCTCTAGGAGGGGCTCGAAATTTCCATTCTCTGCCTTCATCACTCATTATTGTCAGTTGATGCCCTTCAGAATTGCAGTGTGCCCGCAATTCTGCCTCGGAGCCAACAATTACACTGCAGTATGTGCAAAAGTTATCCATTTTTCTTTTTCACAGCTGCAGCAAAAAGAAAATAAATAAATAAAAATTCCTCAACACGGCAATACCCCCCAAAAAATATTTAACAACATGGCAATACCCCCCCCCCAAAAAAAATATTTAATATAATTCTGTATTTTATTCTGGTACTATTCGGATTCGAGGTCCGTAAAAAATCGCCAAACTATTGTTGATGCCAATGCTGCCAAAAATAATTGCGGCAAGAAAGGAAGTATAATAGTAAATAACTATCTAAGATTGATGTTTAATTTAGATGAAAGGTTAATTTCATATAACTTTATATTATAATTTATATAAAAAAAGGATAAACATAACTGAATGGAAACATATGAGTAAATAACTATTTCAGATCATCATTATAATTTATATAAAAATTGCTAAACATAACTGAATGGATGCCTGCATCGCTATTTCGCTACCGACTACGCATACATTTTCGCTGCAATTTTTTTACGGCCCTCGAAACCGAATAGTACCCTTATTTTAATGTACAGCTTCACTGTAAAGCACATTTTATGTTTAAATGAATGATAGCCTAAACTTCTAAAATATTACTAATTAAAAAATTGAAGTATAAAATTCTAAAGAATATCATCATGAACGTTCAAATTTTGTTACTGTGCCAATTTCTCTAGAATGTGATGGTAAAATTTTAACACTGAGAAACGGGAGACCTTTATTCAAAATCTGGTGGTAATGCACTGTTTTCTCATCAATATTACTATTAACTTTATTTTCAAAAAAAAAAAAAAAAAAAATTAAGGCAATAATGCAAAAAATTAAAATCACTTTTGATGAATAATTACTTCTATCAGTCTTGGAGTTTTTCAAAAAAAAAAAAAAAAAAAACTGAACTTCGCAATTTTTTTAAGTTAATCACTAAGGTTATAAGTGCGCGTGATGTATGCTCTACGCATGCACACGTTGAAAGAAATGTTTAATAAAGTAAACAATAAATATTAAGCTTTTTTTTTTTGTAAAATTTGATCCCTTTAGATCATAATTGCTCTTTATTTCATAAATTTGGTTTCATATTTTAAGTTTATTAATTCTGCATGCCCATCTTACCAGATTTGAAACTGATGATCTATAATCCGGAAAACCCCCTAATCCAGAATCGCTGAAGTCCCGAAGAGTCCGGATTACGAACTTTGAACTGTATATGTATAATTAATTTTTTTTTATGTTGATAGAATAATTACATTTTATTTTGTTTATTTTATATTAATACCTTTAAATGATGCATAATTAATACATAATAAAACTCTAAATCTGTAATCTTGGCCTCTAATCTCTAACTCTGCATGCATTTCTGCGAGAATCGAATACTTTCAAATATTTCCTATGTGCAGCACCCTGAATCGTATTGACAGATTGGTTTGGCAAACCACAGCTACAAAATTGCAGACTCCTGTTGTATTATATAACACTGTAAAGTTTTTTTACCAAAAGTTCAAAAACAAGGACTATGACATTCTAGAAACAGAGTGCTCTGGCCAGCTTACTGATGTTGATGAGGCTCACCTGTGAGAACTTGTGGAAGAAGATCAGTAAGCAACCACTCAAGAACTTGCTAACGAGTTAAACGTTAGTGCCATATCCATTAGTCAAGCTATGCATCACATAAACTTGACGTACAGATTCAACTGCAGGGTGCCACATAAGCCGACTCAAGCAGATAAGGACAGACCTGTTTGGGCGTGCACTAATCTGCTTGAATATCAACACAAAGACAAAATTCTGGACTGGATTGTCATTTTAAATAAGTTGTTTTAACTTCAACACCACAGGTTAAAAACAGGGTTATTCTGCACTTGGTGAGCCTGTGGGCAGTATCGCAAAGCACAAACTGACTTACAAAAAGATCATGCTGGTGGGGTTGCCATAGTGTTATCCACAAAGAGTATCTGGAAAAAGGTAAATACAATAAGGTATAGTCGATAATAAGATGTACAGCGAGATACTAGTTTGTGTTGATACTGCTATCAAGGAAAAACATCGAACTGAGTTTCTGGCGTAAAAGATAATGCAAGACCACCTGTGTCTGCATTCACCAGCTGGACTCTATATGGACTCAAATGGGTTCGTTTATCACACCCACCATATAGTCCCAATATCCCTTCTGACTTCTACCTTTTTTCACACCTGCAGCTACATCCTGCTGGTGCTATCTTCCATTCTGCACAGGATGTCTGAAATGAGGTTGATCTGTTTTTGGAAGGTTCGAAGGTTTTGAAACACTACCAAAACGTTTGGAGAAAATCAGATTTGCATGGTGATTACTATCCACACTTAAAGGTACTACTTTTAATTTTTTTTAACTTTATTAAGAATTTTTTTTTTTTTTGGCAAAAAAACTTTTGTTACAACCAGATATAAATTCACATATATATGTATTGTGAAATTTTGAATAAAAACTTCTAATTCTTTGCAGGTATGTCCAGAAATATACTGATTTAAAATGATGGCAAAATTTTATATGTATAATTGAAATTTCAAAAATATATAAGTATTTTTAAAAATACAAATTAAAAAAATAAATCATAAAAATGCGCTAATTTTATTTGGAATTTGAATCCAAAAGAAGCAATTAAATAAGTTTAATTAAAAATAGATATATTAATAAATATGCACCAACTTCAATTAATATTGGGGGAACTAAAATTTTGAGACCCAATTTTTTCAAAACTGGGCGATTTTTAAGAAACTTGGCACTTTTGCATAATTTGAAACATTGGATTGGAATATGGAGAAAAAAAAATTATGCCAGAAAAGTCAGATTTTGTGGTGCGAACGGGCTGGCTGCATGGGTGTTTCCACGGTTTTTCTCATGTGTAACATGTATATGAGCCAGTTTCCCTTAGAAAGTCCTCCATGAAAGCATTCCTCTCCTTAGGCAGATAGCCATCGAGGCATTGCCATAATCACATAAACCAAACCAATTTTGTAGCAAAATGTTTAACACTGCAACAAACTGTTCATGTTTAACTAAGTGACCAACAGTTTGGCCCTGGAACCCTTAAGTTCCAAAAAGGCCATGAGTAAATGGCATTTTCTCGATTATGGTTCTAGAATGATGCTCCCCGATTTGTACTTTATTTTCTTTCCAATATACACTACTGGACACATTTCAAGATTCACGTCTGCGAATTTAAAAATATCATTACTTATAGTTTGAATACATACATACAGTTTGGCTATTTTAAAAGCTAAGAATAACAGGAAAATTTGTTGTCAGTAGATCTATATTACAGATAAAATATCCGTACTTATGTATTAAAGCAGCTGCCTTGGTGCAATACGGCAATTTTTATACATAAGAAGGCATGACAACTTACTTAATTTTTAAATTTAATTATTACATATATATTTTACATTCTAATTAGGTATTCATTCCCAACATCAATCAATAAATCTACTTACAAGTTGGTTTTTATGTCTTGTTCTGGTGGAAATTTCAGGGTTATCACTACTTTAACAGATTCAAAACAATTGTTCCTCTTAGCAGAAAAATACTTTTATTTCTGCAGAAATTTTATCACAGTTTCTTCACACTTGGCAAATTCCACAAGTCGAGTCTAAAATGAATTTAAGGGCTGGTTTGGTTTGGTTTATTGAGATTACAGCAAAGCACACTAGGGCTATATGCCTAAAGGGAGCGATGCCTTCGTGGAGGACTTTCTAAGGGAAACTGGCTCATATGCACATTACACATGGGGAAAACCACAAAAACGTCCCTGCAGCCAGTCCGTTCGCGGGATTCGAACCTTAGTCTGAACTACCAGTGTTCAGAGACTTTACTGCTCGGCCGCTGGTGGGCTTCCTTGAGTTTAAGGGGAAAAATACCTCGACATGTATATAAAAACTACTGGAAATTGAAATAAAACAAAGAGAATGCATGTGAAAATGGCCATGGAGCTGGACTGAAAAACTGTTACAAGCACGGTTAGTTGGGGCCTTGTTATGTGCATGGTTCCCAGAGTTTGCCCCATTCTCAAAATTTGGCACCTTCTGTTAAGGCGGTTGTGTAAATAAATATGCAAGTACCTTGGTTGCATAAATACCAATTCAATGACAAATTTTGTGATTTCATTGTAGATTCATTGTTAGATTTCATTATTATTAATAGTCTTATGTTATTCATTGATAGTTTTACTTATGTTATTCTGGTATGCAATGTCAAATTGTGCAGCAGAACGAAAAGAAAATACAGAAGGATTTATCATAAAAGATAAGTGCACAATGTCGAAGTTGTGTTTAATGCCAACTTTGTACAGTTCTCCAATGGTTTGCTTAGTGAAAACAGATCACTGTGCAAACTGCGCAAAAAAAAAAAAAAAAAAAAAGGGGGGGGAACAGTTCTGTATCTCCTGTTCTACTGGGCTGATTAACGAAATTGAAACTGCATTTTTCATGTCTCGAAAGCATGACTTAGGATATTTATTAAATTATTCTAACATAGGTATTTCAACACAAAATCGGACTTTTCCTGAAATAACATATCAATTTTTTTCCATATTTTGATTCTATGACTCAAATTATGCCTAGGTATTAAATTTTGTAATTTTTGGAAAGAAGTGTATGGAGAAATTTAAAAATTTATCTTGGCGTATTTTTTCAGTTTGCACCAAGAAAATTCACTTGGTGGAATTTATATAACCTACTTACTTCATGATCTAGGTAAAAAAAATCCCATGAAAATAAATAATTTTAACAAAACATAAAAATTGTATGCTTCACTTATAAATACGGCAATTTCATTGGGAAAAGTTTAAATACCATAAATGGAAATAAAAAGAAATTTTTCAGAATTTAGAAATACATCTACGTTAAGACGATTGTTAAAAATTTATAGGTTATAATAGAAAATTTTGTTTGAAAAATTTAGAAAAATATTTTAAAATACAAATTTTGAAAATAAATAATAAGAAATGTGTAAATTATATTTGGATTGGGCCCAAATTTCAAATTCTGGAAGAAAGTGACAGAGGTTATTGAAAACGAAAAAATTTCGATTGACAAATTAGTCCGTAGACACAGCAATTATAAGACTTGAACAGCGGAACTTTGTAACTGAACAAGAAATTACATCTGTTTATAGAATTAAAGAGAATGTATTATCACGTAAAAAACAAAGCAACTTAAACAACTTACATTGAAAGAAATGTTTAATAAAATAAACAAATAAATATTAAGCTTTTTTATGTAAATTTGATACCTTTAGATCATAATTGTTCTTTATTTCATAAATTACGGTTTCATACTTTAATTTTAATTTTTTCTGCATGCCATATTACCAGATTTAAACTGATGATCTATAATCCGGAAAAATTGATAATCCGGAATCGCCGAAGTCCCGACGAGTCTGGATTAATGACTTTTGACTGTATTTACGTGTTCAGGCACTACATGAAGGGAGGTATGGTTTCGTGGAGAACTTTCGAAGGGAAACTGGCTAGTATAAACACATTACACATGGGAGAAACCAATAAAACATTCATGCAGCCAGCCTGTTTGTAGGATTTCGACCTTCAGACCAAACTACCAGTGCTCAGGGACTTTCCCAATCGGCTACTAGTGAGCCCAACTAGGTACACAGAAGATCATAAGATAATGCTTTACAATAATATGGTTTAGCAGCAACTTCAAGAGCTTCTATTATTTTCTATAATCTACTTTTAAGCATGTCTTTGTTGTTGATTCAACCAGCTTTGTATTAATCTAAAGTAGAAAAAACATCAACGGCAAGAAAAACTAATTCACAAGATTGAACAAAAGGGGGAGGAGGGTGACACACAGTTGAGATTCTGGTTAAAGTGGACAAGTAATTTCCAAAAGCTTTAATTTTACAGGACTTTTAATAGAGTTTTACAAAAAAATCAAATTTATTTATACTGATAAATACATTCACCCTTTCCTTGTTAAAATTCACAAAACTTATTAAAAATTATACATCAAATGCAATTCTTTTTTCCTTGGGCCACATACAGTAGTACCTCCCAATAAGGGGTACCTACCAGATGTTTTGTCCCTTAAATAGAGGTGTCCCTTATTAAGTAAATATGTGTCTAATTCAAAGCCACTGGAACCAACAAAACTGTGTCTTAAATAGATGTGTTCCTTACAGGAGGTACTACTGTGTATGTATATTTGCAACATTATACGGGCCTCGACATAGTATGCTATATCTCATAGTATTATAAACTTTATAAAACGTTTAATACAATATTAAAAACTTAATATAAAATTTTCAATTTAAAAATTACTGTGACTTTGTATGCCAAAACAAATCTTTTATTATTTGTGACAAATTAAGTTTATAAATGTGACATGCTAGTTTTCATACATAAAAATGATACGCATTATGTCAATTTTTCACAAACTCCTTACATATTGCATTTCAGAGCATGATGAACCACAAAGATATAGTAATGCAAAAAGCATATAATACCCATGCATACTTTATACAGTCTCGAAATTTTAGGATATTAACTTTCAAAGTACAGATTACACTAGCATACTGTTCATTTCATGTACAGCTTAGTACACTTAAATTCAAAATACTGTACATTGCGTACGAATGATTTAGAACATACAAAATTTTACTTTTCATATGCAGAAAGGCCTATTTTAAATTATTCATACAGAAACTAAAAAAAAACTGAATTATAATAAGGATTTTGCAAATAAGTTTCATGTAAAAGTGACAAAGATTCAAGTTTCTAATTGAACAATCACTTAAATTATTAAATATCATACCAAATTATATTGCTATCATTACACTTTACATAAAAAGTTATCTTCAGGTTTACAAAACTTTTATAAGTATCAAAGATCTTAAAAAGATAAAATGCATATACTACAGCCAAAACAAAAAAAAAAAAAAATTGCTAATACAAATAAAAAAAAAAAAAAAAAATGATTAACATATCATTTTCCAGAATCTTAAAAATAGTTCAAAACGAATTTAAAATGGGGATCAATTTCTCGTTAAGCATGCAAAATAACAATAAGAATGGTGGAAGACCATTAAAAAAAGAAATGAGAAAAGAGCAAAAAAAAGGAGGGAAAAATATAACAAGAAAGACACCTATAACATATACAAATTCGAAAAGAAAAACTGTGTAACTGTAAAATTCTGATATCACTTCATATTTCTTAGTTAATAATGCTACTAAAAAGAATTTTTATGAAAGAAAAGAAAGCAGTTCTTTACAATGCTCAATTGCAGAGTGTTTGGGAAAATAAATTAGAAAATTATGTTTTAAAAACATATAGATATACCTTTTACAAGAACTTAACAGATACTTAAAAGAGTTCAGAAATTATTATACAAATTATCTGCCGTCCTTTAATTCCTAACATACTACAAAACAGAAAATATTAACGCGCTAAACGATAATAAACGAGAATTAATTGACTACCGCATCCTTTCACTACCCAACGCAAATAAATGAACTATTCCATTCTATTGTTGCCAAACTGATTTTACGAAATAAATGTAGGTTGTGTTCGAAAGAAAATCCAATATTTGACCCAATCTAGATGATAGTAATACCAAAATTTACGAGAAAATTGTCAACCTCTTCGCTAATAACTATGAACCACAGTTTACTTTAAATAATTTCCCACACTCGAATGATATGAATATTATCAATCACCTTTATTCCACAGAGCTCCTACATTCCAGAAGAACAGTTTGGCTTCCGTCTTCTTCACAGTACTAATCACCAGCTGCTTCGTGTCATCAACTATATTACTGACGGTTTCAATTGTAAGTTCCCTACCGGAGCCATTTTCCTTGATATTGAGAAAGCTTTTGATAGGGTATGGCACCGAGGACTTATATACAAACTTATCAAGTTAAACTTCCCCGATCATTGTATTAGACTTATTGCTTCCTATCTCCAAGACAGAATCTTTGCAGTGAAAATTGGCAGTTCTGTTTCTTCCACGACAAAAATTTTCGCTGGAGTGCCCCAAGGATCTGTACTTTCTCTATATTTATATAACATTTACATTTACGATATTCCCGCACGCGCACAAATTACCATTGCTCTTTTCACTGATGATACTGCAATTATAACCCAAGCTTCTACTGTTACTGTTGTCCAGCTCCTTCTTCAACATTACCTCAATCATCTAGAAAATTGGTTCACTTTTTGGAAGATTGCAGTTAATACCGAAAAATCTAAAGCAATAATTTTCGCAAAGGCCAAACAAATTTCACTCCACCTAGACCTCTTCCGTTTGATGAAGAAATTGACTGGGCTAACAAAGTTAAATATCTAAAAGTCATTCTAGATGAAAAAATTGACTTTACAGAAACATCTTAAGGGAACTGTGCAAAAAAATTAGTATCACGCTTGAAAATATGTGCCCTCAATTCTTGGCAGAAGAAATCACTTCTGCTTTAACTAAACCCCTTTTATACAAATCTATACTTCGAACAGCATTACTTTATGCTAGTCCTGTCTGGGGCCACGATGCCAACTTTCATTTTCAACATGACCAAATTCTTCAAAAAAAATTAGAGAGATTATCAACGCGCCTTGGTTCATTCCAAACTCGTATATCCCCCGTAATCTCTAAGTAGACACAATTCATTCAAACTTACGAAAAATTTCTTCTGTTCAATTCTCACTTATCCTAGAAACTGCATCAGCTCTCCTAAATATTTTCCATTTCCCAGAGAAAAAGCACAAATCCATCTGACATTCTCCATCTTAACACTTTTTACTTATACATCAAAAGTCGTTAATCCGGACTCGTCGGGACTTCGGCGATTCCGGATTATCGATTTTTCCGGATTATAGATCATCAGTTTAAATCTGGTAAGAATGGCATGCAGAAATTATAAAATTAAAAAATATGAAACCGTAATTTATGAAATAAAGAACAATTATGATCTAAAGGGTATCAAAATTTACAAAAAAAAAAAAGCTTAATATTTATTTGTTTACTTTATTAAACATTTCTTTCAATGTAAGTTGTTTAAGTTGCTTCGTTTTTTATGTGATAATACATTCTCTTTAATTCTATAAACAGACATAATTTCTTGTTCAGTTACAAAGTTCCGCTGTTCAAGTCCTATAATTGCTGTGTCGAGAATACGGACTAATTTGTCAATCGAAATTTTTCGTTTTCAATAACCTCTGTCACTTTCTTCGCTATCGGAAGCGAATTATAATGACGAGGAATTTGATTTAAATCATATCAAAGACGGAGTACATCGAGATGAAATACTACATTTAGTAAGGAATTATAAGCCAAATAAAATAAAAACATCTGCCCTGAAGATAAGGATAGTGCTGACAGATCAACTTCCAATTCATTGCGCGCCCACCGCTGCATTAAAGATAAACAAAGTTTAGATAAACAAACGTTAAAGTTTAGATAAAAAAGGATATGCCTTTATCCATTTTTTTGCAGCAATTCCACTTTTTGTTTAATGAACTCCGAAAGATACTTTCGCTTTGTATATCCTTTACATATTAGTAAATATATATCAGAAATTCTATTTGACATAATCGAAAAGTTCAAGCTTACTTTTATAAAATTGCTCTAACAGTCTGGCAAAAAATAATAAGCCGGATCCAATTCGAAGATTAAGGAACAACGCAATCTGCAACATTAACTGAAATAGATAATTAGATAAATTTTAGTAGCTTAGCTTATACCGTCCGTTATACATTAAACGCGCACTCGTAAACATATTTTGCGCACGCGCACAAGCATATTCGCAGCCGTAAAGGTCTTACGCGCATGCGTCAACGCGACGCATGCGCAGAAAGTTTGTAGCTTTGAGGTCCGGATTATAGATCATTCCGGATTATGGGTGTCCGAATTAACAACTTTTGACTGTACAAGATTTTTCAGCTCACTGATTTGGACCTTCGACCAGAAAGCTACCTCTTCGTCGACTGATTACGGCCACCTGACTTTTATTTTCATCTTTTTGTTTTACTGATGTTCTTCACGTGATACAGAGTAAAAGGAGGCTCTGCTTTCTGAAACTCAAATTCACTATATGTTCTTAGTTATCAATCACGCGACCAATTTTCTATGTAAAGATCCTGAAAATCTAAACAACCCGATTTCTCCCAAAGAAATACAGAAAATTATAAAGAAACTCAATCCAAAGAAAGCAATTGGATCGTAAATTTCTTCATCATTTGTATATTTTCTATCACAAGTCTTTATTCATTGACAATCTTGTCTGGACACAGTCGAGTCGGAAGAAAGGCTCGTTTTTTGCGATCTACTCGACAAAAAGCGAATCTCGTATCATTGCAAAGATCGACGCGTGGGAAAATTTTCCTTCAGCTATCAATCACTTAACTCTCTGACTGTCGTTTTAGAGCTAAACTGAAGATGGTAGAGGTCAGGCATATTTTTTTTCTCTTCTCAAGATCAATGAATTAAGGCCATTCTTCACCGGAGCATCCGCATCAAAGACAGCAATAACTACTCAAATAAAGGTAAGGAATAATTCGCTTGTTTTTGTAGTTGTTGATATAGGCTTCTGGCAATTGATCTATCAGATAATCAATTCCTTGATTTAATTTTAGTGAAAATAATCTATTTGCTGTTTTCCGGCTTCACATATGAAGTAGGAGTGTATGTTTTTAACTTTTTTAACTTTTTTATTTTTTATTTGAAAACATAAAGACTCCCCGTGCACCACAGATGTACAAGACGTGGCTTAAACTAAAACATTAAAAAAGTTACACGCATAAATGAAACGAACAAAAGTCGAGAACAGCAGTCTGGACTTCACGAAGACAAATAAGTTCACTAGCCAAGTCACTCCGAACATTTTCAAATCGTTCTGCAAGCATAATCTAGGACCATCAAAAAGTAGGACATGAGAAAATCAAATGTTCCACATCCTGAGGTACTATTTTTGAACATTCACATAAAAGGCTTGATCTTAGATTAAAACGAGACAGGTAACTTGCAAATTTACTGTTACCAAATAAATTTTCAAGTTATCTGTTTCGTTTTAAAGTCTGATTTTTAAACTAATGTCTGTATTAATGTACTTAATTTTATGTTTTGATGAGTAATTATAAATTTATAAATTTTTATGGTTTAAATTAAAACGTATTTCTCTCTACTTTTATTTTAATTTCTAGTGTATAAAAATGTACTATATTAACAAATGCATTAAAGAATATACAGTATATATTCAAATTATGCACATCCTAAATTCAACGTTCATATTAAACATCTTTAAGTTAAAAAATTAATTTAAGTAGTTTTAATTGTACTGATATAAATGGGATTAATTACACCATTTGTAATTGGAGTGAAGATTATGGGAGAGAGATGTAGATGGGGGGAGGATTTGAAAGTTAAATGGTGTAAGATATTTCTAAATTGGAAACTTTATCGATACCTAGATATTATTTCAAAACAGGTCTCACCGAATTCCAATTACATACTTTTTGCCGACGTTAGTGAATTAGCATACGGAGCTATCATTTATGTCCGCTACAAAACATCAGATGAAAATTTTGAAATCTAAATCAAGCATAGCACCAGTAAAGACATTAACTTTTTCAAGGTTAGAGTTCATGGCAAAATTGATTGCTGGAAGAATAAACTTCTTAAAACCCATTTTTCACACATGAGATAATTACTTCTTGTGGACTGATTCTGCAGTAACTCTTTGCTGGATCGGCGGAAATACCAAAAAGTGGAAGCATTTCGTCGCGAATACAGTTAGTTAAATTTAAGGAATACCATATCCATCGAATTGGAGACATTGCAGCAGTCGAGATAACCTAAAAAAAGGGCATTACAGTACAATTGAAATTGTCCCTTTGACTAGAAGAAAGAAGTTTAAAAATGTATATAAAGTTTAACATATCAATGAATGCGAAATTTGACGAAAATAAGAAAGAAGAAAATTACCTCTGAATTTTGACAAATATGGTTCAATTCCAAAGCCGTACAGAAGAACAGCCTATATTAAGAGATTTAACGTGAGAAGCAAAAACAAAGAAGACAGAATTCAAACTGAATTAATTGCAGGTGATATGCAACGATATGTTGGATCAAGCAAATACAGAAGGAACATTTTCTGGAAGAATTAAAGAATCTGAAAGAAGGAAAACGCATTCCGAAAGAATAAAACAGAAATTAAAAAATTTCAAAGATTCGGGACTTGAATACAGCTTTAGATGAGAAAGTAATTATTGTAGTTGGCGAGAGATTACAAGAATCAAAGATGAAGTTTTTTTAAAAATATCCAATGCTATTGCCCGCGTAACATTGTCCACCGTGCTATTACGCAGATTCACTGAACTTATAATTAATGATGCTTATAATCAGGTATACCATGCAGAAAGTTTTCATACATTAGTCCAAACTTGAGAAAGATTTTGGGTTATAAGAGAAAGACTGTACATAAAGTCACTTCCCAAAGGAT